ATGATGGGTAGGAGATTGCTCAATTTACAACGTCCTCCTCAGACTCTAGAAGCACTTCGAGAGGAGTTGGTGGTTGCCTGGAATGAGATACCACAGGAGGACATTGACCACCTGATCAGAAGCATGCCTAGGCGCGTAGGAGAATGCGTAGCACATCAGGGTGCATCCACACATTATTAAAGGCTTTAAAGCAGTGCAATCATTTTGAAATTTTTATCATTTACTTATTATGCTTCATTAAGTACTTATACAAAATTTTATTAAAATAAAACCATTTAAACTGGGCGTTCGGATTTATATGTCACTTAGTATATAATTGTTTTGCTTTGTCTATATATTTTTGTCCTTCATAGTTCCAGTTTTTTTCAATTAATTTTTATTGAAGGGAGTCTAATGAATTTATTTATGTATAAGTGAGTATTATGCTATAATGAATTATGTATACAGATTGGTGTATTAATAAAACAAGTTAAAAAAGAAATACAGCACAATACTAATTTGTCTATATACATTTGTGCATTACTGCATTTCACTTTGTTTTAGAGGAAAAAAAACCATTTTGGTTTATTAATTTTCGCATGTAATGTATGCACGTGTTTATAGTCTTATAGTAACTGTTAGCCTCTTATACAACAAAGAATATTGCAAAATTTCAACAGAATTGAGAAAATATTTTTTATGATATCATTATAAAAAAATTCATTTTATCACCCTGTACCTTAAAAATTCTGCATTTCCGGACCCACGTTTATAGACACTTTTCTTCATAGTTGTTAATTAGAAATCACCCTCTAAAACATCTCCATCTATTTTTTGAACACCCTGTATTATAGTTTAAATGGTATCACTGATTTGTATAATCTACCATGATTTATCACTATTGAAATTTTTTAATACAAATAAAGTAAGTTTTATGGAGTCCTGTTAGTAAAAGTTCAGTGGCACCTCGAGTGGGATCTGAACGAATGTTAGTGACAAAAAATGTACGCCACTGTCTTTTGTGCAATTTTTATTATGTTCTTTGTATTAAGCAAATGGAAATACGACTTTTTTGTCTCTTGATTTTTTTTTGTATATCTTGCTTAGTTTTTGACTTCATTGCTTATCCTTGGACCACACAAGCAATATGGTGAAAAGTTTCTGTTGGAATTTTTTTTATTAAGAACAAATTCTAAATAAAATTAACATCTAGACTAGCAAATTTCACTAAATTATAAAAACATTAGAATTTCCAAAATAAACTTTTCCCCATATTCCTTGTGCGGTCCAGGTATTTGCAATTAATTACACTTTTTTTCTTGAAAACTTTGCTTAGTCAGTTATAAATACCACCATCTAATTACAACAAAATTAGGTAAAGGATATTTAAGATATTTACGAATAATTTCTTTTTTTAATTTTATCTTGTGAACAACGAATTTAATGAACTTTTTGTCTCAAAATTACTCAAAGAATTGTCTGTTAAATTTATGGTACATACTTTACACCCTGTACAAAAAATTAAAAATGAATAAAGCATAAAAAATACATATTTAAAAACAAGCTTTTATTTAGCTGTTCATACAGTGAACTAAATATTTAAAAACAATTCTTCCTGATTGAACATTTTTGAACAATAATGAAGTTCATTCATCTCAAGTTTTTAAATAAATAAATATAACTTTTGGCATTTTTACAGTTACCTTTTTGTCCGATTTTTTTTATGAGCAAAATATTGAATGAGGTCCATTAAAGTAGACCCCTTCTATAAGGGAGCAGTTACAAATCGTTTGACAAAGCCTTTATGAAAAATTCATGGCTTTTTATCGACCTTGTGATTTTTTACACAACATTTGCTATTTCTCAAAAACGGTTAGAGTTTAGGTGTGCGTTATACATGAGATGTATTCAAAGGGTGTTTCCATTTAAAATAAGCAAGTTGGCATATACGTCCAGTACCACCGGAAATGTCACCATTTTGAAAATATTTTATCCGAAGTTTTTTCAATTAGTTTTTTTAGCCGACACACCTACCGCAATTTCAAGTTTTCATAATTGTCTAAGAGCCGTTTTACACACAAGAGAATTCTCCGAAAATGATGGTCATAATTATGCCGAAAATTTTTGCTGTCGTATTACACGTAAAAGAATTCTTGTAAAAATTTTCATAGTAAAAATATAAAATCCGTTCTATAGAATGTGCGCGAGAATCGGCGCAGAGGGTTATTTACGTGCATGTCAATATCAAATGTCAATGTCAACAACATAACCTCACTTAACATTTGTGCGTGTGGCCCTGTTCGAGTCGTACGAAGAAGCGTTTATTGTTATTGTTTATTCATAATGTCGTGGAATCGGGAAGAAGTTACACTGTTGTTGGATGAGTACCAAAAATGGCCAAACCTGTACAAGGTGAAGTCACCCAATTTGCGGCGTCAGGCGCTGGATGCGATAGTCCAAGCATTGAGAAGATTTATAATATTAACCAAGATCTCGATTTCAAAAATAAATTTAAATCAACGACGTCTGTTGTCTTTCCGATTATATTGGACGTCATACCCGTTAAGGTTATGTCCATTCGAAAATATTACTCTAATGCGCAGGCGTATGATATGAATTACTCCGAAATCTTGTTTGCTTGTGTCATACAGGTTGTAGAGAAAATCTTCAATATTTTTCCATGAAAATTTTTGGCATAATTATTATGACCATAATTTTCGGAGTAATTCTCTTGTGTGTAAAACGGCTCTAACATGAACTTTCGGCATAATCGATAGCTCTATGTAGGACACGATGTCATATTATTTTTTAGTGTTTTAAAAATCTAATATCTTTTGTTGCAGGTTATTCAAGAGATACTTAACTTGGTGTACGACATCAAGCCAGAAATCCACAAAAATTACCGCATCTAAAGTACTTAGTGCTTTTTATCAGTGTCAGTATTGATCCTTAAAAAGGAAGATAATACTTATATAGCATGTCTAGCTGTTCATTCCATTCGCCTTTTTTATAGGTGTATTTTTTAGCACATTTTTCGTTTGAAATATGAATCTATAACAAAATAGTTGCAATATATCTGTGTGTTTGTTGTATATTGTAAATAAAACATATGATTGTTCATCATTGGACTCATTTTTTGATGCTATTTGTCATTGATTACTTTGGGTCGCTCAATCTACTGGTTTAGGGGTAGTTTTTCAAGAACAACTTTAAAGTTATGTGACTTGGAAGTCAACTTTAACTTGCCCGAATATTCGTTTTTCAAGTTTTGGTTATCGAATTTGTAATCAGTATCGCAAAAATCGATTTTTTTTTGAACAAATTAACCTGATTTTTGGAGCGCGCGATTTTTTTTTAATAATCTCAAGTTGTACTGATTTTTCCCTTAAATATGGCAACAATGCACTTTCAAATAGTTCAGTATTTTTCCTATTCGCTAAAAAATATTTCTCTGATTTACAGTAATGGTCGAATGATTTGAATAAAGTTTTAATCTTGAAATTGGAGTGTGTGAACATAAAAATTGTTTATTTCTTCACAATAAAAAATTCACGAATAATTTGGGAGATTACGAGCGTGGAAAGCACCTGTTTTCCGGCCATCACTACTAGTTTATTGAGCAACATACAGGTTTCGTTCAAAGAGCATTCAATAGCAAATACACCTGTTTACCTTGCCGATGTTAATCACAAACCATTCCAAAAGCTAACTGTGATTTTTATGAAAAAACAAATTCAGACATTTCGTATTTGAGACTAATTGAACAAATGCGCTACGATATTCGAAAAACATACGTTTAAAACAATGCGGATGTGTCTATCATCTGTTGTCTGTTTGAATTTGTTCAGAAGAAACGTAACCCACCCTTTTTGCATAAAAATAACATTTATCTTCGGGAATGGTTTGATTCATATCGGCATAGTAAACTAGTGTATTTTGCTATAAAATGTTCTTTAAACTAATCCTGTATATTGCTCAATAAACTAGTACTCAAGACTGGAAAACAGGTGTTTTGGGATAAACAATTAGAAATTTTCAAAAGCTACTTGACCAATCTACTCTAATGTTGTTCTGGTTATTTAGAAGTACGAATCCTTAGAATTTCAAATATCTGCGAGAAACCATCGTCCCATTACCAACAAGTGCCAAAACCTGCAGTTTGCCTTGGCTTTCGGCCGTAACTTTTCACATAAATATCTAAAAATCTTATTTGAAGAGTTTTTTCGTTCCTGCCAGCACTTTCGATTGAATCCCAGAAAACACGTTTTCTCATTATTTGTAGTCGAATAATAAGTTTTCCCACAAAAATTGATGTACCCATTTTATGCGTCCATATTTTGAATACCCCGTTGAACAACTGGCAGGAATAAATCCAGACCTTACAGTTACTTCGCAAACCAGGGGTATTTTTGTCCAATATGATTAGACTACTTACAGCCCAATGTTTGGACTGTATTTTTGTTTCGTGCGTATAATGGTGTATCCAAGTTTCATCTGTAGTAATTAATCGACGCCGAAACTTTGATTTATTGCGCGTCTACGGCCACCTTTAAATTCAGCTGTCCAAAATTTCACTGTGGTAAAGAGTCCCATACAGAGAGTCCAGCTCATCCTTGATTTCATTGTCTTTCAAAAACAACTATTTAATGACAGCTCGATACTCGATTTTGTCCATGTTCACATCAACTCACTCAAACATAACAACTGCGCTTCCAAAATAGCTGAAACCTTGGTGAGTAAATGTTAACAGATGGACAACGAAATTCACTAGCTTTTCTTTAAGAACGCTGCCATCTTCACGTTGAGGTCGGAAACTATTCATACCACCCTCGTAGAGCTTGTAATTTTGCGTAATTTCTTTTGGGGAGTTCTAGGTACCTTCGGTTATTTTTCGTAGAAACCAAGAGCAAACCACTTTGAGTGGTATAACCAGTAGGACACAAAATTGGTGTAATTTCTTTATCCAGAGTTCAGCAAATGTGTAGCATATGGATTTTAGGATGTACGTAAGACACAAAACATAATACAAAATAATTTAATGAACGAAACACTGGTACAATTTTTAACAGCAAACGTTTCCTGAGCAATTTGCTTAAAGGATAAGTATGCGAACATTTATAAAACTATTTTTTATAATTCATATGGATGTAACAAATATATTCTTTGGAGTCCTTACAAATAAAAAAATAAGGTACTTATAAAATACACATAGAAAAGGGCGTAAACTATCACACTGCGAAGTCTGAAACATACGCAGTAATTGGAAATATGTTCATTCTGCTTGGATTCTCTCTGGGTCGGCAAGCCTGCAAATAAAAATATTGTACACGAAAAACGACATAAAGATCATTATTATTATTCATAATAGAGCAGTTGAGCAAAAGCTATAGATTCCAAAGATTGGACATAAAAAATAACATATAAATCCGAACACCCAGTTTAAATGGTTTTATTTTAATAAAATTTTGTATAAGTACTTAATGAAGCATAATAAGTAAATGATAAAAATTTCTTTGACCTTTACTAATGTGTGGATGCACCCTGATGTGCTACGCATTCTCCAACGCGCCTAGGTATGCTTCTGATCAGGTGGTCAATGTCCTGCTGTGGTATCTCATTCCAGGCAACCACCAACTCCTCTCGAAGTGCTTCTAGAGTCTGAGGAGGACGTTGCAAATTGAGCAATCTCCTACCCATCATATCCCACACGTGCTCAATTGGGGATAAGTCGGGAGATCTTGGTGGCCATGGTAACAATGTGACATCGTTATGTTGAAAGAAGTCTATTGTGACTCTTGCAACATGTGGTCGGGCATTATCTTGTTGGAAAGTTGGATCTGCCAGGGTGTCAAGATAGGGTAAAAGATGGGGTTAAAGAACTTCGTGGATATAACGTTGCGCGTTCATGTTACCTCTGATGAAGATTAAAGGTGACCTGGAATCATAAGCTATAGCACCCCAAACCATAACTCCAACAGTGTGATGAACGTGTCTTTCAACAAAAAACTGCGGATTCCTCCTTTCACCACGTCGCCTTCTAAGCATGGCACGACCATCGTGCATGCCTAAACAAAATCGAGACTCGTCACTAAAGACAATACTGTTCCATTCCTGATCCCAGAGTGACCGTTGTCTGCACCACTCAAGGCGATTACGTCGGTGTTCTCGAGTTAAAGGGAGGACCCAGTGTGGCCGGTATGAAAACAAGCCAAAACTTCTCATTCGTCGGTAAACACTTCGCATGCCAATAGGTCTTCCGTGTTCTGCAAACCATTCATTTGCAATGGACCTGGTAGTGGAGAAACGGTCCCTTAAGGCCAATAATCTTAGGCGGCGATCTTCACGGTCTGTTGTTCTACAGCGGCGTCCAGTGCCCCTTGCTCTTTGCGTACGGCCTTCTCGAAGCCATGCCTGACAACACCTAACCACAGTGTCTACACTTCTTTGCACTCTAACTGCAATTGCCCGAAAAGAAAATCCAGCTTCCCGAAGTCCCACTATACGGCCCCTATCAAACTCACTAAGTTGACGAAATCGTACAGGTCTCCGTACTCTAGGCATCGTAACCGATCGTAAAGGATGTCAAGAACCAAAATCCGCCAACGTTGATTCTTTACTGCGGCTGAAATATTCATTTTTAGAGCGTTAGTGAATTAAAAAAAAAACAGTATAAAAACCGGAATTTACCCAACTGATAAGGCTGAAAATTTTTTCATTTGTTATTTACAGTAAGATAAATACACTCACCAACTTTTATTAAAATAAAACCATTTAAACTGGGTGTTCGGATTTATATGTCACTTAGTATATATAATAAAGATAATGTCATAGGAACACTAAAGTTCATCGTATCTAAACACGAGCGCCGGATTTGAATTTGCCGCCATTTTTTTGTACAAATGGTATGGTGTTTACTTGATGACAGCTGTCATGTCCAGACCACGCGATTAGACGTCATCGAGCAGTATTCAAACGAGCAACGTTTAATTATTGTGAAAACTCACTACGAAAATGGTTAAAATTACGCGAAACCACTTCCCAAATTAAGTACAATTTTTGGTCGCAATAATGCGCCAAATGAGTCGACAGTTCGCCATTTAATTACAAAATTTGAGACAAGATTCACGTTGCTGAATGTGAAGACCACTGTTCGTCGCCGTCCTGGTCGGTCAATCGAAAATACAGTCGCATTGCGGGAAAGTGTGGCCGATAATCCAGGCAGTTCCATTGGGCATCGTGGGCAAGAATCAGACCTTACCAGACCTACTCTGCACCGAATTGTGATAAAAGATCTCGCTTGCAAGCAAGCAAGAACGCAGCGCCGTGAATTCGTTGATTGGGCGTTGGAGCACCACCAAATTGATGCGAATTTCTCGAAGAAAATCATCTTCTCTGGTGAGGCAAATTCTCAACTGAACGGTTACGTCAATAAGCAGAACTGCCGATATGTTCTTTCAAGACCGTGCGACGTGCCGCATAAATACTCGTTAAATTAAAAGAAACTGTGTTTTTCTTGAAAATCAAATCTCTCTTATTGACACCCTACAGTTGTGGCCTCGCAGGTGGTTGGTGTTGAGAGAGAAAAGTGAGGATCTGTTACTGTCGAAGATATCATGTAAAGCCCTGTAAGTGGTTATCAAGTCCCCACGTAAGCGTAGAAGTCAGCTAAATTGAATAGGATCAGTTTCTCCTCGTAACAACAGGTACAAGAGCGGTTCCAGAAGTACCGGCCTGACCTAGAGATGGCGATAGTTTTTTGAAAAATATCATTGTATTAGAAAGTATGCAACCTATAAAGCATGTGTCAGGTTTGGCAGCCATCAATACTGAACGTTTTTAGTGAATTTGTGAAAATGGAGAAAATTGGTCAACGTTATGTGGTACAATACTTTCATTTCAAAGGCCTCAGCCCAACCAATATAAAAGCTGATCTGGGTGAGTCTGCTGCTTCGTTTACAACAGTAAAATATTGGGTAGCAGAGTTTAAACGAGGCCGTATGAGCGGCCAAGACGAGCATCGCAGTGGTCGACCAAATGAGGTGACGACTCCAGAAATGGTGGGAAAAGTGTATAGAGCTCAAAGGAGATTATGTTGAAAAATAAATACACTTTTTTACGAAATGTTTGTTTTCTTCGTTGGGTCGCGTACTTCTGGGACCACCCTCGTATCTGTCACGTTGTAGCGTTGGATACCAAACACGTCCAGCGAATTCCATAATTGGTCTAACATAACTGTCCTAAAAGTTTTGGAAAAAAATTCATCGGCTTTAATTTTAACAAACACAAATAATATCAAGTTGACATTTATTTATTTTGAAGTGTTCGCTTTACGAGGGATGTCGTTTAAGTTTTGCATATGGAAATAAAACAACACGGTAGGTAGTTTTAAATGACTTTATTGTTTTTCGAAGTATTCTCCACGAAGATTAATACACATCTGTGTGTGTTGGAACCCAATCTTCTTAAATCTAACATAACATCATCCCACATATTTGCATGTTCAGCCTTTAAAAATTCCAGGAAGGTCGCACCATTTAACCTTGCAGGCAAAAGGTAGGGTCCAAATAGTCGATTACGATTACACACACAAATTCATGCTGAAAATTTCTTTCCCGAACTGCATGCGGATTTTCATGCGACCAAATATGTTGATTATGAAAATTTACCACTCCACGTCTAGTGAAGCATGTCTCATCGGTCCATAAAACGTTACTTAAAAACTCCCTATTATTATCAGTTCTATCAAGAATCCACTGACAAAATGTGATTCTTCGTTCTCCGTCCCCTGGCTGTAGTCCTTGCACAGGTTGCAAATGGTAAGGACGTCTATGGTCATTTCTAAGAACACGGTGAACATGGCTTGCTGAAATTCCCGAGGCACCAGAAACTCTCCTAACACTTGTGGTCGGATCTCTATCAAACTCACGCAGAATCATACGGGTAAATCTGGGCTGACGAACATTTATGTTTTGATCTCTTTGGAAATTTCCAAAACCATTTTCAATTATTTGGCGATGCACTCTTACAAATACTGGGCGAGTTGGATGTCGTCTGTTTGGAAATCTTCGTGCGTATTCTCTGGCTGCTTCTGCTGCGTTTCCATTTACAAAGCCATACACAAAATGAATATCCGCTAACTCTTGATTGGAGAATAACAATGGCATTTTTATAAAACTTACAAAATAAATCAGGTAAAAGAAACTAAATTTCGTGCATTCACAATTGCAAAAAAAACGTTTCAGGTTTCAACAGACAACAAAACTGTCAACTGTAATTGACGTTTAACCTTATTCTGCTTTCAATTCCAAAAATATTTGCAGGCACAGCCTACGTCTAAAAATTATCGAGATACTGACTTTTTAACGTTATTTTATCATAAATAATTAAAAATGCATCGAACCTTAAAAATCGAAATGTCTCAAAAACGGCTAACTATAACGAAAATTCACAAGAGAGCTTTTTATGTTGAAAAGTGCGAAGAATCAGTTTTTTTATTCAAAAAGCAAAAAATTGCACTAAGAAAATTTTTTCGGTCATTTTAATACACTACAGGTACAGTAGAGAGCGCCCTCTAGCGGCTACAGTAAAACTATGCCCATGGTTCGTTTTGTCGTACCAAAAAACCCTTGTATAACAATTTTCACTGTTATACATCAAATATTGTTCGAAATATTTAAAAAAAAAAACTATTTTAGAAAGTAAATTTAAACACCCTGTATTTCGGAAGCCACGCATTTTTCGACCCATTTTATATAGACTTTATGCATTAATTTTAAAGGTTCTATCGAATCTTAAAGTTATGCAACAATAAACTGAAACACCCTATTTCACCTTAAAAAAAATCCGATAAATATTTTGTGCCAAAACATTTAGAACATACGTCAATACGAATCTTATTTGTTATAAATTAGTATAAAAAGTAATAAATTAGACTTTGAACAGTGCAAACCTGTGTTTTCGTTATAATATTTTGGCGCTTTATTGTGCTTCGAGGAATACGTTACCTTAGAATGGATACATCCTTGCTGATAAACGACACATCTTGCGGAGTTAAAAATACAAATTGTAGTTGTGGCCTGGATTTCGCATGATTGACCAGGATGTCTATCACCTTGGTCCGATTCAATTTGTCCTGAAATAAGACGATAGTTTACTAATACTTAAAGCTTCCTCCCAAATACGAGGGTTGATCCCTATAAGGATATTTTGTTAGGCAAACGGTATATCAGGAAGTATTTTAGGCTGCTTTGTCTAAAGGGATGCAAGTTACAAAATTTAGAAAACATATTATTACAAGTTTACTCGAATCAGCGGTAAGGTTTAATTTCGCCGGCTCCCAGCCCCAACGGAAAATGAGTGGAGTGAAATTCGTATTGACATTTGAATTGGTCTGATCGAGTCAACGCGCGGGTGATAAAATAATGTTCATAATTTCGACGTAAACACATTTATGCTTAAGATGATATTTGACCGCGTTTCGATTCAACAAGTTTTCCAATATTTGGTACAGTGGCTTGAGCAGTGGAAATTCTGAGTATCGGCTCTAAGGACACATCAGACAAAGACCTGTTTTTAGTTTTGTTCAATTCATTAAAGAAAACATCTGCTCGCAGAACTACGTTCTACCGATCATGGAGCAAGTTTCCAAGGCCAGTGCAAGAATTTTGGGAAAAACTTGCTGCTTAACACCTTGATAAAACGAAATTAAATCACTATTGTAGTGGTAGTATCTCTCCTTAAGGATCGTATCGCATTGAAGCTTAATCAGCTCCATTTGGAACTGCGGCGGTTCTGTTTCGAAAAGCACTGAAGGTGGCGTCGTAAAAATCTCATTTGCATAAACATTTCAACGTCATCAATGATTTAAAAAAAAATCTTTAACACTTTTGCGCAGCTTAACCAGCGCGTAACACAATAAAAGGGTATGTCACCGCAAGTTGCTTCCAGGTCTTTTAAAAATACTTCAAACTGCCGTGGTTGAGACATTGCTTTCTGCAGAAATTGACACATGTTATTACTACATCCATAACAGATTTGAAATTACGGAAGGTTTTGGCACATAGTTGTTCCTGATGTAATATGCAATGTACCGATGATATCGGAGGTAACCCGGCGTCGCGTACTTTTATTTTCATTGGCCCAGTAAAACCTTGTGCTTCCGATAACATTGCTGGCGCTCCATCAGCAACAACACTACTCAAACTTTTGAGTAGTATACCCATGTCATTCATTGTGTATTCTACAGCATCAAAAATATCTTCTCCGGCCATTGTATCTTTGAACGGGATAACGTCTAGTAGTTCGTCGGTGATAGTAAAGACTATTTCGATACCTCTAACGAAAACAGCTAATTATGCTGTGTCACAAATGGCTTTACTTTCATCGAGAGCTATAGAATACTGCACAAAATGGGCACATTTTCCCGCAGTTCTTCTTTCAAATCTGCACCAAGTTTAAGTATCCGTATTGTTTGCTCGGACATACTAATTGTCTCAAAGTTGCTTACAGGAGATGGGCACAATATTTCTGCACACTCCACGAAGCATTGTTTGACAAGTGCACCGTCAGTAAACGGTCTCCCAATTTTTGCGATTTTCACAGCAACAATATAACTTGCATTAAGACACCATTAATAATAATCAACTACGACCAAATTAATAATTACCTCTTCAGAACTTAGAATACCGTGTGACAAATTAAACATTTTGCTTTTCCATCAGTATTTACAAAAAATAGGCTTCTTCCATGCAGGATTGAATGACATCGTTTAAAAAAGTTGCACGTTAAGACGCTAAAAAACCTGTCCACTTTGTCTTGTCCTATTAAGAAATGGCCCGCGCATGAGAGACAGTCGGCTAGTATAATTGAATTGAAATATAAAAATAGACAAACATTTAACTAAAACGAACATTAAAAAAGTAGAATATAAAAATAATTAAGAAAGGTAACTGTGATTGTGCAAATTATTAAGATATTATCCTTAATTTCTGGATTAGTTCATGTATATTCCATATCATTGATGAGAAGTTTTTATATTCATTGAGCTCTAGTGAGAACCTAGAACGACATCGTGCTCCATATATTCTATTTTTTCTTATTATGTGATAATTGTGCTTTATTTGAAATTTGAACACAAATGGCCTTTGCATTCGCGTTATGTTACAGTTTGGGCGGCCAAGCTGACTGAAGGAATCATCGGAAACTATTTCTTCGAAAAAGAGCAAGGCCAGACTATAACAGTAAAATCTAATAGCTATGCAGCAATCCTACGTAGCTTTTTCTTTCCACAACTGCATAATTTTGAAGCCTACCATAGCAGGACCTGTTGTCAACAAGATGACACGACATCCCACACCCCCAACGAATCTTTAGCAGTTGTGAACAAAATGTTTAGTGGAAAACTGATATCGCCACCGGTGGACATTCCGTGGCCTGCTCGAAACACTGGATTTTTTTGTGGAGATACCCCAAGAGCCGCATTTACGCCAATAAACCGACGACAAGCATAATATTTCGGCTGAGATGTCCGCTATCCCAAGAACGATGTGCCAGCGAGTTTTCACGAACTTGAAGTCGAGATTCGAGGAGTGCGTACGTCTCGATGGCTCAGATCTCAATGATTAAAAAAAAATTCCCAAGTGTCTAGAGGGTTGAAAAAAAAAACGTTATTTTTTAAACAAAAATCATGTTTTTTTTTGTTTAAAACAATCAAATTTAGCTGAAAAAAAATTGTGTTAAACACGGACAATACATGTTTAAAACAGTACAAAAAAATTAAAAAACTATTGCCTATACAGGGTGTCCGCAAAGTTGGGGTTTTCCTTTTCAGAAACAACTACCCTTGAAATAACAAAGGTAATGTGTAAAGAAACGAGGGCGACCAAGTAAAAAAAAATAAAGGAAAAAGTACTCACTCTCCAGTTGACGAGAAGGGCTAAGTACGTCTCTGCCCGAAATCATACCGCTCCAACAGAAAATGAAATCAGCTGATGCGCTACCGAGCAGACGCAGACAAACAAGGAAGGCAAAATGTTGCGTAAAAAGTCTAGGTATTGCATCCCGTCCAATCGATTTGGGAGAATAAATGGTCCAATGAGCATACCGTTCACCATGCCAGCCCAAACATTCACCGAAAAATGTTTGTTGAAAATGTGCCCGACGGACAGCGTGCGGATTTTCTACTGACCAAACATGAGTGTTGCGAAAGTTATTCACCCCATTACGCGTGAACGTAGATTCGTCTGTCACCAATATGCACTTCAAAAAGTCCGGATTATTGTCATGTTGATGCAACAACCACTCACAAAACCGCACTCTTGCTGGAAAATCGTCAGGTTGAAGGGCTTGTACACGTTGGACGTGAAACGGATACAGCCCCTCTTCACGCAGCGTTTGCCACACTTTAGTTTTTGATACTTGCACTTCTCTAGCCACGTCTCTAGTGCTTGTTGAGGGCTTCTCGTCTACGCGATTACCTCTACACGCGTTACCGTAACCGTCGGTTGAAGGTTGCACACTGACCTGACACACTGACCTCGACCCAGTTCTGTCGTCGGGTTGAGCTAGTGTCCTAGTACCAGTCGGGGATGTCGCGGCTACAGGACGATATTCAGATATTTTTGATGTTGCAGAGCCCTTTATCTCGGTTCCCTTAAGACATTGGTGTATATGGTACTAAAAAAATTGCTTATGTTTTCAAGATCTACACCCTGTATAATCTAGTAACGTTAATGAAGTTCCTTGAAAGTGTTATTACTATTTTTGATTCAGCTCTATCAGAACACATCTCTAATTTAAACCCTTTGCCTTTAGGTAATTTTTCGCGTTGCTATCTTCAATATTCAAATGTGCGAAGTCGTAGCGTGGTGGTGTGTTTTGTTTTTTGTGCATTAAAGATCGGCAAAAAAATAAAGGCAATGACAGGGATGATAAAGGATCCCGTGTCGAAATATTTTAAGGAGACTGATGCCAAATCTGGCTCGAAAATAAATAAAAGAGCAAAATGTTTAGGCTGCAATATGGATATAGTGCCCCTGGTGGCTAGAATGCGCAAGCATATTAACAATTGTAAACAACTAAAACAAGGAAGTTTTTCAGAAAAACAAAATATTCATGTATCAGATAGATCTGATACCGAAAATGATGATGTTTCTACGAAACCTATTTCCTCAAAGTGGGAGAATTGTGAAAAACGTAAATTTTTTTACTAAAAGTAGTGAAAACTAAAAATTTATTCTATGTACATTTTCCATGATTTTATATATTAAAAATACGGATTTAAGGATTCTGATTAAAACATAACAACCCTGTGTGTCTACTTTATTAAAAATATAAATTATCGTCCCTACGCTTTGTAGTTTTTTCTGATTTTTTAAAATCCGCCCAACTTAATGGCCCACCCTGTAAATTTTTATTCCCTATTGGCGTGAGTGGTGTTTCACTACTTATGCTTCAATCCTTTGAAGTGACTGTAGTTTCTTTCTCATAAATAAATTTCATTCGGATACAATCTAAAATACTTACCATATACACGTCAAATTCGTCAAGAAAGTAAAATGGAAATTCCATGCACTGCCACAGAGAATAGAGGAATGCAACAGTTGAAAAAGACCTCTCGCCACCAGACAGATTTGCTGTGGTGGTGACTCCCTGCGAGCCATGTTGCGGTTGAACTACCAACTCCAACGTTTCTTCTTTCATTTTTATGTCCATATATCCCTGAGAAAATACAGGTTGTTTGAGTAATTTTAAGACAAAAGGTTCATATAAGCATAGGTCGCAAATTGTTCGTTCTCAAGATAAAGGGTGTTAACATTAAAAAAAAAAGGTTTTTCGTAAATTTCTTAAATATCCTTTACCTAATTTTGTTATATACTAAGTGACATATAAATCCGAACACGCAGTTTAAATGGTTTTATTTTAATAAAATTTTGTAAGTACTTAATGAAGCATAATAAGTAAATGATAAAAATGATTGCACTGCTTTAAAGCCCTTTGACCTTTAATAATGTGTGGATGCACCCTGATGTGCTACGCATTCTCCAACACGCCTAGGCATGCTTCTGATCAGGTGGTCAATGTCCTCCTGTGGTATCTCATTCCAGGCAACCACCAACTCCTCTCGAAGTGCTTCTAGAGTCTGAGGAGGACGACGAGCAATCTCCTACCCATCACATCCCACACGTGCTCAATTGGGGATAAGTCGGGAGATCTTGGTGGCCATGGTAACAATGTGACATCATTATGTTGAAAGAAGTCTATTGTGACTCTTGCAACATGTGGTCGGGCATTATCTTGTTGGAAAGTTGGATCTGCCAGGGTGTCAAGATAGGGTAAAAGATGGGGTTCTAGAACTTCGTGGATATAACGCTGCGCGTTCATGTTACCTCTGATGAAGATTAAAGGTGACCTGGAACCATAAGCTATAGCACCCCAAACCATAACTCAAACAGTGCGATGAACATGTCTTTCAACAAAAAACTGTGGATTCCTCCTTTCACCACGTCGCCTTCTAACCCTGGCACGACCATCGTGCATGCCTAAACAAAATCGAGACTCTTCACTAAAGGCAATACTGTTCCATTCCTGATCCCAGAGTGACCGTTGTCTGCACCACTCAAGGCGATTACGTCGGTGTTCTCGAGTTAAAGGGAGGACCCAGTGTGGCCGGTAGGAAAACAAGCCAAAACTTCTCATTCGTCGGTAAACACTTCGCATGCCAATAGGTCTTCCGTGTTCTGCAAACCATTCATTTGCAATGGACCTGGTGGTGGAGAAACGGTCCCCGAAGGCCAATAATCTTAGGCAGCGATCTTCACGGTCTGTTGTTCTACGGCGGCATCCAGTGCCCCTTGCTCTTTGCGTACGGCCTTCTCGAAGCCATGCCTGACAACACCTAACCACAGTGTCTACACTTCTTTGCACTCTAACTGCAATTGCCCGAAAAGAAAGTCCAGCTTCCCGAAGTCCCACTATACGGCCCCAGCAAACTCACTAAGTTGACGAAATCGTACAGGTCTCCGTACTCTAGGCATCGTAACTTGTTATTTACAGTAAGATAAATACATTCACCAACTTTTATTAAAATAAAACCATTTAAACTGGGTGTTCGGATTTATATGTCACTTAGTATAATTTGGCGGTGGTATTTATAACATTAAGGAGCTAATTTTGCCTCAACTTAAAATTTATTAAGTCCAGTGCGGGATCTGAACAAATATTTGTGACAAAAAATGTACGCCGCTGACTTTTGTGCAATTTTTATTATGCTCTTTGGATTAAACAAATACAACTTTTTTTGTCTCTTGAGCTTTTTCGTATTTCGAGAAAAAAGTCCACTTAATTGCATATCCCTGGTGCACACAAGGGATATGGGAAAAAGTTTCTTTTGGTAATTATTTTTTTTATATTTTTTTAATAGAGCAAACCACTTCTCTTACCTTGAACTGCCTCGATTCTAGTATCTTTGCGAAATAACATTTTATTGTCGTAATAAAATATTTTTCTGTCTTTTGATAGTAAGACTTTCTCTGTTCTAATGCCGTCTTCAATTCTTTTATGTCAGTTTGCAAGCAGCTGATCAATTCAGTGCAATTTCTTTGCTTCTCCTCCAATTCCTTATATCTCTTTTTGACGGCATTTATATTGCCCGTATCCGTTTCAATGCTCTCTATTCGATGCTTTGTCCGATTTATTTCATTCGTGATCCTTTCGACTTGCCTGAAAACAACAACAACAACAATATTCAATGACGTACTCGAAAGGGACAGAACCTGATTTTTTCTCTGTTGCTGCCATGGGCGTACATGAAAAATGCTACAGGGCGCCACCTGTATTGTGACGATAATCACGTGAAACTGGCGACACTGATGATTGTCAGGGGTTGCTAGAGAAAACCAAACAACACAAAGCTTTACCTTAAATCTGATATCCTATCACCGACTTTAATGGCACCTTCCTCCAATTTTTTCAACGTATCCATACACAACGATTCTTGTTCCTTGGCGGTTTTCAACTTCTCTTTATATTCCGCTATCCGCCTTTTGTCAAATTCATCACTGCTGGATATTCTTTGCAACTGCGAACGGCTTTCCTTAACTTCATTCTGCAACATAGAAAACGTCAATTGTTCCGAGAGTTCATCGCTTTTTGTATATACGAGCGCGGTCCGATAAGTACTTAGCGTACTAAAGAAATGCGAAATTTTTGGATTTGTTTCTCAAAATAGCCTCCTATTAGCTCGACTTACTTGATCCAGCGATGCTCCAACTCCTTTAACCCGCCTGAAAAATACGTTTTCTGGAGAGTAGGTCTCCGTGGCGGCGATAAGCTCTTCATTCGTCTCAAATTTCTGACCGGCGAGTCACTTTTCAAGTTTGGAAACAAAAAGAAGTAGCGCGGGGCCAAATCTGGAGAATAGGGTGGATGAGGCAGCAGTTCGTAGCATAATTCAACCAATTTGGCCGTGAAGGCGTTGTAGCACATTTTGCAATATTTGAAGAGTAATTTGAAGGCACCCATTCACAATTCTTTGTCGCAGGTCTTCTAATGATGTTGACTGAGTGGCATAGATTTTGCTTTTTAAATGGCCCCACATAAAGAAATCCAAAGGTGTTAAATCTGGCGATCTTGGGGGTCATTCAATGGCACCTCTTCTACCAATCCATCGATCTGTAAACGTCTGATCTAAATATTGTCGAACACGTAATGCGTAATGTGGTGGGGCACCATCCTGTTGGAAAATCAACCTATTCGCAATGATTTTCAATTATGGCTGTTAATGCAGGATCTATGGCGTCTTCAAGTAATTCCAAATACATTTCACCGGTCAAATTTCCAGGTAAGAAAAAAGGACCAACTAAATGATCGCCATAAATACCAGCCCAAACATTTAATTTTTGTGGCTGCTGAGTATGAACCTCATGATAAATTCTGGGATTAGAATCGGACCAATATCGGCAGTTATGACGATTTACTACGCCATTTAAGAAAAAGGAACATTCGTCGGAAAAGCAAGTGTTGAATAGAAAATGTTCATCGCTTATAATTCGTTCACTCATATCTTCACAAAATTGTAATCGCCGATCAAAATCGTCTTCATTAAGTTCTTGTACCAGGTGAATTTTATACGGATGAAAACTATGGGCCTTTAGAATCCGTTGGACAGTACGTCGACTATTTGCGGGTACTTAACGTAGGATCTACATAGACTTGCCCTAAAACCCACACTTCTATTGCTTCGTTCCTTATGGGATTTTCAATGTTGCGTTTTTTATTGGCGACTGACCCGGTTTCCCGAAATTTAGCTACAAGTTCTAGAACATATTTTCGATGCACGTTACTGTTCTCATGTCGCTCATTAAATATTTCTGCTGTTCTATTAGCGCACTGATTATATCCGAAAAATATTTCGATAATTTCAACTCTTTCTGCTGTGGAATATACCATGGTTAATTTATGTAATAAAGCGTTGCAAGTTATTTTAGCAACAAAGTTTGGTCAAATCAATCGCAAAAACTATGTACTAAATTCCTATTCAAAATAAGTACGAGATATTTCCTTATCTTTCTTCAAGAAATAACTTTTTGCCACAAAAAAACGCTCCAATAGCTATTTTCAACAACAAAATGATAAACGAAGCATGGGCGTAGTGAAGAAAAGCATTTACTTATTAAGTAAATTCTTTTAGTCAAATTTCTTCTGAAAGTAGTACAAACTAATCTGATGTACCTATTAAAGTCTACTTTAAGCTTTAAATCAATAAATTTTCAAAACTACTGAACTGAAGCTCATGTATTTTACATCATTATAAAGGGAATTGAAGGACCTTTAAAATAAGGTATCACTCGACCCCCTTTCCACTTAAGATTATGGGGGTGCCGTCACCCCCGCTTAAGGGGCTGCACGTGCTAACGTGATTTTTTGCCATACTTGTGTCCCCCTCGAAAACAAAATCGACGGGTCTGAGCGTTTTTCAAAAAAAAAACCCACCCACCCTGTATACAGATTGGAAATACAAAATAACCTCTAAAGATTCAATTTTTAAGGTAATTAAAAAATTAAAGTTGTACCTGTAATGATTGTATCCTATTGTCATACTCTTCTGTTGATCGACCTAACTGTTTTAATTTTTCTTCTTCAGCCATTATTGATGTTTTGATTCGTTTAGATTCAGCATTCAGCTGATCCAATTCCGCCGTTTTCTCGGTTTCGAACGTCTTCAACTCATCTAACTCTTGCTCCTGGAAAATTATTTTGATAAAGGTAACAAAATAACAATAAAGTACGGGGGAATCCCTAGTCGTTTCTAGAAACCCCGTCAAGCTGAGAAAAAATAAAAATGTTCAAGGAAGCAGTAGATAAACTCTAGGCGCTGAAGAAAGACATTAAACGTAAACAGTGATCAGCACGTGAACAAATCCCTCGAAAGCATCCACGGATATACTCCAGTCACTTTAGGTCTAAACATCCTCGGCAGTGTATTTCTAGTGAATCCACAGACCCTTTTTCGTGTCATCTTGAGACTAGAAAAAGGATGACTGTTAAAATAAGTTACCTTGACCTTTCATGAGCTCCCAGTACAAAACATCATCGATATATTTTTGATGTAGGAACAACAAATTGGTTTAGAAAACATCCACTTTGAACCTAAATTGACTGGAGTAACATCGATCTACAGACAAATTCAAGGTCACTAGCAGTCGTCGGCGCTCTACGAATCTGCACAGGTTTGGACTTGTAAACGTGATTGTAGATGACACGACAGGCATCTAACAGTTAATTCACGCACAGGATTGCATTGCATACGCATTACGCATTCAGTAGCGTATACTCGTTTTTCGCGAGTGGAACGTTTTGTTTATATATTGCCTAAGATACGATGTCTGACACAGATACAGCCGACGAAGTGGTTGACATCAGCGCAACCCCACCCAAAAAAAGGGCTAAGAAGCTACATTTAAGTGCAAATGAAAAACAAATAATATTAAATATATACAAAAACCAAATTCAAGAAAAACCCGATTTGGTCGTGGACGAAGTTATATGTAAGGTAGCACATATTTCTGGAGTATGTCGGTCCAGTGTTTATAGGATCATTAAGGAATATAGGAGCACTCACTCACTTTCTGAGCCAAAACCGTATCCTGCAAGAAAAAGGATAACGGACGGAGTAGATGACTTTGACAGAACTGCCATCAGGAGGAAAGTGCATAATTTTTTCTTCCGAAATGAGATACCTACAGTAGATAAGATATTAAGATTAGTTAATGCTGATGAGGATCTTCCATCATTTAAAAGAACCACATTCCGAAAACTTTTGAAGGAACTTAATTTTCGATTCTTGAAACGGGGAAGAAACATTATGTTAATAGAGAAAGAAGAAATTGTTGTGTGGAGAAGGGAATACCTTAGGGAGATTCGGAAGTTTCGCGATGAAAAAAGAAAAATTTACTATTTGGACGAAACGTGGGTGAATGCTGGACATACTCAAGCGAAAGTTTGGGTCGACAAATCAGTAACATCATCAAGGCAGGCTTTTCTAGACGGTCTTTCGGCTGGATTGAAAAATCCTGCAGGTAAGCTCCTTCATCTATCCGGCAATTTAATTTTGATAAATTCGGGCAAATAATATGCTGTGATAGCAGATAATGTGTGATATTCTCCAAAAATGGTGCATTCGCAGTGTAGTCATTAGGAAAAAAACTTCGACCCTCTTTTAAGCGTTATTTTGAAATTTATTATCATTTTTGGGTGCAGTCAATTTGCTTTGAATGGGTTTTGAGAAGTTAGAAACTTCAATTTTCTACGTTTTTCAGTTTTTGATCAGCATTCCGTGACTCTTAAATTCAGCTAAATGAACTCAATTGCCTCATTCCTTCAAATTTAATCAATCCATAGTGTAAGGAATAATTTATTTCCAGGAAAAGGCAAACGGCTGATCATTTGTCACGTAGGTAGTGAAGACGGCTTTGTTCCCGAAGCACTGTGGGCCTTTGAATCAAAAAAGACAGAGGACTATCATGAGGAGATGGACGGCAATTCCTTTGAAAATTGGTTCTCCAAAATGTTACTAAAGCTGGAGAATAACGCTGTTATTGTACTGGATAATGCCCCGTACCATTCTAGAAAAATAGAAAAAATTCCCACAATGGCAACTAAAAAAGCAAACATACAACAATGGCTGGCCTCAAAACAGATCGATTTTGATGAAACAATGGTCAAGGGTGAATTGATAAGTATAGTCAATAGACATAAATACAAATACGATTTTAAAATGATCGACGAAATGGCCAAAAAACAAAATAAAACTGTCTTGAGACTGCCACCCTACCATTGTGAGCTGAACCCTACTGAGCTGATTTGGGCCAACATAAAGCAATACGTGGCGTCGAATAATAATACTTAAAAATTTTCTGATGTTAAAAATCTCTTTCACATTGCAGTCAATAGAGTTACGGCAGAGGAATGGAAAAACTGTATCCGCCACGTTCGGGAGAAGGTTGAGGTCAAAATGTGGGATTTGGACAATGTCATCGATACCCAAATTGAACCTCTAATAATTCATTTAAACGATTCAGAAGATTCAAGTTCCTCTTCTGAATGAGTGCGCGCAGCTTACTTACTAATAACTAAAAAGTGTAGTTAACTCATTTGTGAATCTCTAACTGAAATTTACTGTAAAAGATAATAATTATCTTGTATGAAATTTTTGATGACTACCCATAATATCTTGATGCGGTCCTGTAATGTCTCCTGCGCCTAAACACTCACTCACGAGCAATATGCGTGTATTTGTTTGGGTTTAGTTTCTTTCTTCAGCGCCTAGAGTATAGATAGATAATTCAGCCCATCAAGGCGAATGATTTTTATATGCTGTTCAAAACTGCAGAAAGAAACTTTGAATCAACATACAAAAGGATAAATTCAACTAACCAGGTAATGCACATTTTGTACTTCAGGTTCGGCTGCGGAACTTAGTTCGTCTAGTTTGCTACTCAGCTGAGTCCTAGCCATTCTGACCTTACTTATTCTTTCTTCCAACTTGCTCCTCCTATCTTCCTGTTCTTTGATCTCTCCCTCGAGAGATTCGGCCGATCTTATAATACCTTGTTTCTTTGACTGCATGCTTCCTATATCCGCTTGCAATCGTCTGAAAAAAAATTACATCGAATAAGTATGGGAATCCTAGCGAACATCTTTCAAAAATGGTTCTGAAAGAATGTTTCAACATTATTGGAGAGAAGTTATTATCGCTAATGAATCACCGTTTAGTGTACGGCGAATTTCAATCGAAATTAAAATGTTCTACAATAATTACTTCTGTTCCGAAAGTGCACAATTCTGGGTCGTATACAAACATGCGGCCAATTAATGTACTGCCAGATGTCGAGCTCTTAGAAGGAATCGTACATGAACAATTTTTTTTTTGTTGTTTCAGATTTATTTAGCATTAATGCTACAGTCCATCATATCCATATTACACAGTATATAACAAAATATATTGTCTTCAAGACTACATATTTTTATACACAATTTCACTACTATGAATTCTGGTTTTCCATGAGATATTTTTTCAATTTCCCTTTAAACATTTTCAAACTGACACACATCTTGATATCATAACTTAATTTATTAAATTCGTACAATCGCTTTTTAAATACTGACCTCGTTATATTAGTAGTAGTAGTAGTAGTAGTAGTAGTAGTAGTAGTAGAGTAGTAGTAGTAGTAGTAGTAGAGTAGTAGTAGTAGTAGTAGTAGTAGTAGTAGAAAGATTTATTTAGCACATTTGGCTACATAAACAGAATAATTGTAAACAACTTAGAACTAGTAAATTCAAGCCATATGGTGTATGATGTAAATGCTGGGCAACCTATAATTGTAGATTTAACAAGTGATTTCTCAATTTTACTTTAAATTTTGTCAAAGTTTTCTGGTCTTTTATTTCCGAGTATAATTTATTATATTCAATCAACCCTTGATGGAATACCGATTTGTAGCATATGTTATACTTTTTGGTCATTAAATGGAAGTCATCTTTATTTCTGGTATTATGTAAATGATGGTCGACATTTGATGATGTTAAATTAGTTAGACTTGATGGAAATATATTATTTTTTACTTTATAAATGAATATCATCACAAGATATTTGATAAAATTTTTTACATTGAGCCATTTTAATTTGCTAAGCATTTGCCTAATTGGAGTATATTTATCTTTATTTAGTATTATTCTCATGCACTTATTTTGTAAAATTTGCAGTCTTTCATAAATGGAATTATTTGCTAAATATAGAATAGTCGAACAGTACAAGAAGTTTGGAAGAATGATGGTATTATAGATAATTTTTCTGCTATATGAACTCGGACATCCAGAAACTCTCGATAAATATCCCACTTTACTACTAATCTTATTTATAACTTTTTCATAATGAATATCAAAAATTAATCGAGAGTCAACAAAAACCCCCAGGTATTTAAAATTTTCTACGAATTCAATATCTTCACCATCAATATTCAGTTGAACATTTGTACATTGTTTTTTTCCGATTAACAAGGCTTTCGTTTTACTTGCATTTAATTTTTGTCTGTTAGATGCTAACCATTTTGAAACAAGCTTCAAGTCTCCATTTATATAAGAGATACCAGACTGAATATTTTTAGTACTTATATAAATCATAGTGTCATCGGCGAAAATCTGAATATTGCATTTTTTGACTATGGCATGTAAATCATCTATGTATAAAATAAAAAGAAGTGGTCCCAGAATACTGCCCTGTGGAACACCCAACGTATTTTCAATTTTTGATGAAATAGTGTAACTTGCATCCTTTTAAACAAATAATTTCTAAACCAATCTAAAACACTTCCTGTTATATCATATGCCTTCAATTTACCTAACAAAATATCTCTATCAATCGTTTCAAATGCCCTCCTCAAATCCAAAAATACTGCTATGACAACTTCTTCTGAGTCTATGGCTCTTCTCCAATTCTCAGTTACCAACTGGAAAGCTGTTTCTGTGGAATATTTTTTTCGAAAGCCTGCTTGCGCCTCCACTAAAATTTTGTTTTCTTCTATAAACTGCATTAATTGGTCATGCACTATGGACTCTAATAATTTTTCAATGTCTGGTAACACATTTACTGGTCTCATACGGCTGCATCTTTTAGAATTTTTTATTTTGGGAACTGGTGTTATTGTAGAGCATTTCAAATTTTCAGGAAAAGAACTGCTTCTCAGTGAACAATTCATCCAATTTAATACAGGATATCCCAAAATTTCGAAACAGTTTTTCAGCACGTTTTTAGTAGTGATTTCGGCACAGTTGTTATTTGATTTTAAATTATTTACTTTTTTTCTTAGATAATTTAATGATACGCTGTGAAATTTTGAAAGTGTATGCAATATTTCCCCCTGGAAACTGATTTTCATATAGTCAGGTGCAGCATTGGCAGTACCCACAATATCAACAATACTTTCCACAAAATATTCATTTAGTTTGTTTGCAATCACCAAAGAATTTGTTTCGGTACCGTTTTGGAATTGAACTTGATTTACACAATCATGCGGCTTCGAATTGATCAGTCTTTTTAAAGTATTCCACATCTTTACACTGTCGCACTTGTTATTATCGATTTGTTTATCGTAGAATTTCCTTTTTTCTTCTCTAATTACATATACACATTTATTCCTAAGAGTTTTATATACCTCCCAATCATCATTTGATTTTGTGAATATACAGTTATTGTATTGTTTGTCTCTCAAATTTTGAGCTGCCTTAATATTGCTACTGTAGTTTTGTAAATGAAAGTCTATACTTCCTCTGGTAGAATAATTGTGGCACTCATTGTTCAATACAATAAAATTTTCTAAGTGATTTGGAAGAAGATGATTTTTTAACATGAATATGAAAATGAAAACCAAGTAGGCTATGAAATTTTCGATATTTAACCAATGTAGTTTTTTCGGCATAAAATTTATTCTAGTAAATTTATTTTTATTAGAGATGATTCTCATAGCTTTATTTTGTAATATTTGTAATTTTGAAAATAAACAGTGATCAAAACAGTCGAAGAATATAACAACAATAAAGACTATTATTAGTATTGTTATGCGCGTCTTGAAGATAATTTGGAGTAAGCCGGTTTAAGGCGAACGACAACTTACCGCATATATTCCTTGGTGTCAACTTGCAAATACTGCGCCCTCCTGTAATTGGACGCGTACGTCCTATAATTCGGATCCGGATAATATCGGTCACCCTTGATCGTGACGCCCTGTTTGCAATTGTGCGGCACGGACTGTCTGTTAGAAAGCAATTCCTGGGCTCTGTCGTCGGTCGGAATCAACAGAATGTTTTCCGGGGAAACGCTGTCCACTATACAGTTGTTCACCACCGGATCGTCGATTTCTATCGCGTTGTACACGCTCACGCACCCTTCCGGCTCCTGGACGAGGTTTTTTCTGATGTCGTGTTTCTGCAATGAAGCAAAAATGGCGTCACGTAGGTCGACTCTATGCTTCCTACGCTTTCGAAGAAAACGGATGGGTCAAACCGTTTCAAAAGGCGAAATCGAATATCGTGATTAGGTAGGTTCACTTAGGTACGATGAATCTTCTTGTTGTGCCGTCCTTTGATAGATGATTAACAAGTTGTAGTGCTGACAACGGTGCGAATTGTTTACTGTTGTTCTTGCTTGATCAAGTTGTTATTTCTATTGGAAAATTGAGAAATTAAATGTAAAAAGTGAGTTCTAGTGTTGTCTTAGAGTAGTCTGAACAAGTGTGCAAAAAGATAAGCAAGACCAGTGGATTTAAATAAGTCGAATCGTCTGACGACTGAAAATTTCAGCGTGAGGATCGGCACAACGTTGCCAAAATACCGAAAACTACAGCAGAAATATGTAACATGTGCAACAAGTCGGTTCTTGATGACCAAGAAGCTCTATTATGTGACAAGTGTAATGTTTGGAAGCATAGGACCTGTTTCAAACGACTTATACGAAACTGAGCAAATCTTCTCAGGAATGGTTGTGTAACTTTTGTAATGCTGAAGATGAAGCCAAAAAGATTCCTCAGCAGCAAGCAAAAAACTACACCTTGGCGGATGTCATGGAGAAGTTGGATGCAATGGACGAAAAATATAACGCATTGTTTGAAAGATTTACTGAGCAGGTTAAAATTAATGAAACTTCACAAAAGGAATTAGATAGTATTAAAAAACAGTTGAACAAAAATGATTAAAGGGATCTCAAGAATAAGCTGCTTGTTCAAGGAGTACCTTGCAAAGAAGACGAAAACCTACCAGAAATCATAAACAAGATCGGTAACCATCTTGGTGTTCAAATAAATCAAAAGTTCACTGTTTTTCGAATGAATATCTAAAGTTCTGTTAGTTGAAAGTAAGGAGCAGTTGGAAAACTAGAAGAGAATAAAATTGATCTCACGCAATGTTTTATGTTCAAGGAAAACTGTGATATATTGGTGGTTAGTGAAACGTGGTTGCAGAAAAATGAAACCTTCCTTTTCGAGTTGGAGAACTACTCTTCTGTGCATTTCTGCAGGGCTGGGCGTGGCGGTGGAGTGGCCATATACGTAAGCAACACAATATCATTTTATGAATTAGATCAGTCCAATACTAATGACATCGTGAATTGGATGTGTATATGTTTAGGTGAACAAAATATTAAAATTAGTGTAGTCTACAAACCACCATCGTACAACAATAAGGATTTTTTTCTGTATCTGGAGTCCATCCTCCTTAAACATCATTTAATAATAGGAGATATGAACATAAACCTGTTAGAAGATTCTCCAACGAATTTCGACTACAAAATTTTGTTAACAATAAATAACTTTAAAATAAGCAATTCAATTTGTGAAGATCATGCTACTCGAACCACAGATTCAAGTAAATCTCTCATAGACCATGTTCTCAGTGATCGTGTGGGTAAGCTGAATTAGTGTTAAGGAAAATGCCCTGTCGGACCATAAGCTACTGTTAGTGAATATTAAAGATAGCATCAAAATTCGTAAACCAAAGGTAAATTATGAAATAAGATCGATAGATTATAAGCGACTTCAGTATCTTGTTCAACGGAAAGTACAAACAGTGAATATTACTACATTTCAGCACCTGATCGATATAATTCAAGAATGTAAGGTCAAGTCGGAGAGAAAAAAGTATTAAGAATACGTGAAAATATACTAAGTGACATATAAATCCAGTTTAAATGGTTTTATTTTAATAAAAGTTGGTGAATGTATTTATCTTACTGTATATAACAAGTGAAAAAATGTTCAGCCTTATCAGTTGGACATTCCGGTTTTTATACTGCTTTTTTTTAATTCACTAACGCTCTAAAAATGAATATTTCAGCCGCAGTAACGAATCAACGTTGGCGGATTTTGGTTCTTGACATCCTTTACGATCGGTTACGATGCCTAGAGCACGGAGACCTGTACGATTTCGTCAACTTAGTGAGTTTGATAGGGGCCGTATAGTGGGACTTCGGGAAGCTGGACTTTCTTTTCGGGCAATTGCAGTTAGAGTGCAAAGAAGTGTAGACACTGTGGTTAGCTGTTGTCAGGCATGGCTTCGAGAAGGCCGTACGCAAAGAGCAAGGGGCACTGGACGCCGCCTTAGAACAACAGACCGTGAAGATCGCCGCCTAAGATTATTGGTCTTAAGGGACCGTTTCTCCACTACCAGGTCCATTGCAAGTGAATGGTTTGCAGAACACGGAAGACCTATTGGCATGCGAAGTGTTTACCGACGAATGAGAAGTTTTGGCTTGTTTTCATACCGGCCACACTGGGTCCTCCCTTTAACTCGAGAACACCGACGTAATCGCCTTGAGTGGTGCAGACAACGGTCACTCTGGGATCAGGAATGGAACAGTATTGTCTTTAGTGACGAGTCTCGATTCTCGATCCAGGTCACCTTTAATCTTCATCAGAGGTAACATGAACGCGCAGCGTTATATCCATGAAATTCTAGAACCCCATCTTTTACCCTATCTTGACACCCTGGCAGATCCAACTTTCCAGCAAGATAATGCCCGACCACATGTTGCAAGAGTCACAATAGACTTCTTTCAACATAATGATGTCACATTGTTACCATGGCCACCAAGATCTCCCGACTTATCCCCAATTGAGCACGTGTGGGATATGATGGGTAGGAGATTGCTCAATTTGCAACGTTCTCCTCAGACTCTAGAAGCACTTCGAGCGGAGTTGGTGGTTGCCTGGAATGAGATACCACAGGAGGACATTGACCACCTGATCAGAAGCATGCCTAGGCGCGTTGGAGAATGCGTAGCACATCAGGGTGCATCCACACATTATTAAAGGTCAAAGGGTTTTAAAGCAGTGCAATCATTTTGAAATTTTTATCATTTACTTATTATGCTTCATTAAGTACTTATACAAAATTTTATTAATATAAAACCATTTAAACTGGGTGTTCGGATTTATATGTCACTTAGTATAATAGCTGGATAGATGAGGAATTACTTGAAATGATCGATAAAAGGGATAAAATTTACAGACAAAAGTCCACACAACCAGAAAATGAGAATTTAAAAAAATTAAAAACCGAATAAACAATAAAATAAAAGTCTTGAAGAATAGGTATTTTCGGACCAAGTTTTATTTAGCTGGTAGCAACATCAAAAAGCAATGGGCGTTTATCAATAGTTTTTTTAAACATAAAACAGAGGGAGCTGCCTGTGATTGTCTGAAGAGTGGCAACAGTCTCGTGAATGATAGGATAGATACAGTAAATAATTTAAACAGATATTTCTCTAATGTTGGTAGTTCCATTGCAAAAGAATTAGAAAATGAAATTAGAATATCAGGTGAAAATATGGAAAAAAAGAAGTATATATGCATAATACAGTTTTGATAGCCCTCACTGATCAACATACTGGAATTAAAAGCACCTGGCCATGATGGCATTTCATTCAGAGATATACTCAACCTCAGACCTTATATTGTAGAAATAGTAAAATTAATTAACAACATAATTATAACTGGAAAATTTCCAGATGAACTTAAAATAAGTAAAATTACTCCACTTTATAAATCAGGTGATAAACACTATGAATAACTATAGGCCAATATCTGTGATCAGTATTTTATCTAAAATTGTCGAAAAAATTATCAAGAAAAGAATGACGTCGTTTATAGAGGAAAACACTTTAGCAGACAGTTACCAGTATGGGTTCATAAAAAACAGTAGTACGCTTGCAGTTGATTTTGTAAATTACATCTCAAGGGCTTTGGATGAAAAACTAGTGGTTATTGCATTGTTTATAGACTTAAGAAAGGCGTTTGATGTGGTAGATATTAATATATTATTGAATAAGTTATACTTTATCTGAAGTCACTTGAAACACCGTGAAATACCGGGTGCGTTTTATATATCTATATTTAACACGCTCTGTTGCTGCAAAAATCGCCAAATTTCGCAGCAAATATCCCCCGTATAAGATCAAAGGCAGTTTAACCGGTCCACGTGGAGTAAAGCACGCCTATGCGTGGACATAGCCAATGAGAAAGCGTGTATTTCAGAGCTCGGAACAAGTGCAGGTGGCTACTGAAAATTGAAACAGTTTAGCCAGTGCCGTGTAGCGGTGAATAAACGTGTTTTCTTTAGTATGTCCGTGTTTTTCCATAGATTTTATTAGTTTGTGTGTTTTGACTTTTGAATACTCAGTTGACTTGTTGATTTAATTGTTGTGTTGATTGTTATTGTGTGTCCTAAATATGGCTCTTTGGAGACCTTAGGAAAATGCTCCAAGCCACGAGGAGATGGTTGATGAACCTGTGCAGGCAGAATTCTTTCATAAAGATTTAGAGGAACAGACCCAAAGAGTAATCCTAAATATGTATGATTGTCTGAAAAACGAAAATCCAGATTCCTCGCAAAATCAAATTTTAAACAGAATTTGTATCCTGACAAAAATCAGTCAGTCTACCATTTATCGGGTTATAAAAAGGGGAGATGTAGTCAACCATTCCTTCCACAGAAAGCGCATAGGGCAAAAATTAAAAAGAATAGACGTGGGTTTTCAGGAAGATATTCGTCGTATAATATACGGATTTTATAAAGAAAATTTGGTGCCCACGTTGGAAATGATACGGGATAAATTAAAAGATTATCCTGAAGATTTTTATAATTACAAATGTTTAGACTCACTGCACTGTATTGTAAAACTGTGTGGTTTTCAATACAAAAAATTAGATAAAAGAATGGTTATTATGGAGTCGTCTCGAATCGTTGACTTGCGCCAAGAATTTTTGCACAAAGTTAAAATCTATAGAGAGCAGAAAAGAAATCTGATTTACCTGGATGAAACGTGGTATGATACCCATGATGTTGTGCAGTACAGCTGGGTTGACGACAGCAACAAGTGCATTTTAAATGCACCATGCAACCGTGGAAAACGAATCATTATTCTCCATGCTGGCAGTGAAAATGGATTTATACCTAATGCCTTGCTGTTATCTGCCAAAAATATCAAAGAATCATGTGCTCACTATCATGAGGACATGACCTCCGACTTATTTGAAAAGTGGATAGAGCAGCAGTTAATACCAAACATTTCCCCAAATTCAGTGATTATTATGGACATACCATACCATACCATTTTATGAAGGATAAGGGAATTGAAATACCACAAAAATCAACCAAAGCCATATTATTGGATCTTATTAAAAGACAAAAATTTGAAAAAGAGTATGTTGTTGACAATCTGCTTCAGCAAAATGGCCATGAAGTATTACGTCTACCTCCCTATTACTGCATTTTTAACCCGATTGAGTTGGTCTGGGCTGCTTTAAAAAAAAAGTAAGAAAACATAATCAGACCCCTCAATTAAGTGAATCGCTATTGGCCACAATAAGAGATGCAGTATCTCATATTGCTGCCACAGACCTATGGAAGCAGTGTTCTAGGCATATTATTGAAAAAGAAAATGAATATTGTGTTTTGCCTCCTGTAAATCCCGTTGTAATTCCTCTACAAGATGACTCTAGCGACAGCTCCGAAGGCGAGGATGATATATAAATACCTATAATGTAAGTCTTTATATACCTTTTTATATACCTACCTGCTATGTAAATATTTGCCTATGTCAAACGTTGGAATTCTGTAATTTTTCCATTTCTTAACTTTCAGTCAACATAAATTAAACTCCCAATATAAGTATTTTTTATCCCAAATCAAAAAATAAGAAGATAGTAAAATCCATTTATTGTGATATAGAAACATTATTATTATCGTTCTAAATAAATGCCGCACGCCTATGATACGTCATGAAATTACAAAGGACGCGCCGACCAAAGGTTTTTATGCTATTTCAAGTGACTTCAGATACACCATACAAAATATGGGATTTAGGGGTACTGTGTATAATTTGATTAAAACTTATTTACTTAACAGGAAACAATATGTGAAAATTGGTGAAACAACTAGTGAGTGGTTATCTAGTGACTGTGGTGTCCCCCAGGGGTCTGTCTTGGGTCCACTATAATATTCTTTATATGTTCTAAAATCTAAAGAGTGCCACAATCTTAATGCAAGGTATTTTACTTTTGCTGATGAGACACTTCTTCTCTATAAAGGAAATCATGAGCAGGCTCTGCGTGACGAAGTTAATTTAGATCTTGCTCTTTACTGTAAATGGCTGTATTCGAATAAACTAAAGGTCAACATTGATAAAACAAAATATCTAATTTTTAAACAGAAAATAAAATAATCTAAAACCCTTGTATAAGAATAAATAATGTTATAATAGAAAAAGTATCGAGCACCAAATATCTGGGTTTAATTATCAATGAGAACTTGAATTGGTCTAGTCATATTAAACATTTTTTGGATAAAACAACATCGATGATAGCTGCTTTGTACCGAAACAGAGACTACTTAACTACAAAAAGTAAAATAAATATTTATAATGTATTTTTCTTTGCACACTTTATATATATATGTTACCTATTTGGGGAATGTGTTGTAAAACTGAATTTCATAAAGCACAAGTTTTGCAAAATAGAATATTAAGAATTTTGTTCAACTATGATTGACTTGCCAACACAGACAATATGTACTCAGGATTGAATGTTTGTAAACTAAAGCTGGAATTAGAACAATGTAAAATGATCTTCAAAATTTTAAACAACCAACAAAAGTGTAATACAAACATTTTGATCACACATGAGGTGCATGACCATGAGACAAGATCACATAATAATTTGTACCACATTCCTACTAGAACCAATATAGGATTAAATAACCATGTCACTGATGCAGTAACAACCTACCAAATAATGTAAAAGAAAAAGAACATGTATTCAGAAATTATGTAAAGACACTCAAAAGACACTTGAATCGTTAAATTTATTGTAGCTAAAATTCGCACTTTAAGTATTGTTGTTCTCGAGGGTAGTGTTTTAAACACAGATTAGAGAACTTTGTTTCCTATAAAATTTGTAAAAATTGAATACTGATTTGTTTCAAAAAAAACTTCCCTAAAGACAAACACGGGTGTTTATTGAACCGCCCTCGTATAAATCAATTTTTGTTGCAGTTTCAAACGTATGCAGAATATGTGTATGTGGCAATACTCGTTCGGTAAAAAGATCACTTACTTTAAAGAAGAACTTCGATGTGATAATTTGCGGCTGACTGCCTCCCGTCCATACTTTCCTAAAAATTTCTTGCAGCACTTGACTGTCTTTTTTGTTATCTACAGCAAACGCGCCCAGGGTAGCTGGTCTGATGTAGCCTTCCACAGCCACGGCCCATTTCTTGTCTTTGAGTTTGATATAAGAACCTGAAAATGTTATTGCAGTTTCCAAATATACGATAGACGGATTCTTGATAAGGGAAAACATTTATAGCCGCTCTCAGACATGGAAAACCTTATCGGCCTCTAATAATACAAGTCTGATATTTCAAATAAATAAGATTTGATTAGACTTATTAATACCTGTTGTAGCTATAGTCTAATGTACAGGGTGCAAAATTAAGAATGTGAGGTACCAAATCTGGGAACCTATCCATCGCGGCAAAACATTTTATCACCAAAACGGCCAAGAGAAAAATGCGATGCTCCGCTCGACAAAATGATAAAGTAATTTATCTATGAAAAACGATAACTAACCACTGTTACCGTTTGCGATCGATTGCCGGTTCGATAAGAGTGATGAAAGACCAACGCGCTGTTGTCATGTGTGTTTTAAATATTTAATTTAATGAAACCACAGCCGACGTCAAGTACGAGCCGTGATGAAAGAAAGGAAACACCGCGCTCGGACGGCATGGTAGTGCTACCTGTGAACGTCGGCCGCCAGCGGCTGTGTGCTCCGTCTCAAGAACTAAATTTAATTTTGGAAAAGAGGACAGTTCGATTCGTTACAAATCGTCTGAATATGAAATAGCTCTAAAAAATTAAAAAATACGAAATACTCGTGATATATATGAGTCGCTAATGCAGTTAACCTAATTAAAAGTATTTAGTTTACGTTTTTTGGTGTCAGCACACTGTGTTCCAACAGGCCCAGCTTGGAAATGTGGAGTTACCTGTTTGTTTTTAATACATTTACTTTCAGTTTTACTGTTATTTTTCAATTTTACATAATCATTCAAAATTATGTTTGAAAAAATAGACAAAAGCTTAGATAAAATATCTGCATAATTGCGGCCACAGATGCAAGTTAAAGAAAATTCACTGTATATAAAGTCAGACTGAATGCTGAGCAAGGTTAACTGACACAAAATAAATTTTTGATTATTGCTTTTCATGAAGAAAATTTCCAATCTATCTACATTAATAATAGATTCAAAAATGGCATACATATGGTAGAATATGATTGGTACATAACTGGTTGGAATTGACAGTCCTCCTCTTTGCAAATGATCAAAATAAACATTTGTTGTTAATGAACCTTTTTCTTTAACTATTAGCGATTTGCATATCTCGCAGTTTAGGTTTTTAGAGATAGCGTGTGAAGCATATCCAGATATATAAGTCTTAGTACTATCCTCTATGTCACAATTGGCTAAGTAATTTGTCTCAAATACTTCATTGAATATATCCAAAACTTCAGGATTTTGTTTGGTATCCAAGAAATCAAAATTTACTTGAGTTTCTAAGCAGTTTTGGAACCTTGTTTTAATTTCTGCTAAAGAAAATGACGATTTCTTTTCATTGAAAATATGCTTAAGCCGTATTTTCTTTTCAGCATTTAAAATTTCATCATATGACACATTGTAATTGCAGCCACATAAAAGTCTATAATTGCCAAATCGTTTTTCTAAATTATCAGTGGTGAATTTTCCAGGCAATACATACTCAATGTCAAATTGATTAAATGAATATTCAATTATATTAAGTAGAGTCAGCGTGCTTTGATATAGAGCTGTATACGTTTCTGGTGTCAGGTGTCCATTATTATTCTCTAGATTATGCCATTTTTCTAACCATATCAGGAATTTTTTTAAAAATTGTACTCTATAATCATATTTATTGGTAATTGGTAATGGTAATTTTTGTTTTCTTTGCATTGGGTCAGTTCTTTTGGGTGCTTCAGTTTTTGAAAGATATGATGGCAAGTTTGGGAAAATGGAGGGAACAGCATTTTCTTTCAAATTTGGATATTTCAAAGGTATATTATTTTGGACTGTTCCATCCGCCAAAACTATATTTTCTGTCCTGATGATATCCGATTCTCTAAAATGACGACTGCACACAGCTGAATATTTTGAAGGCGTCCAATTTTTTCTGGGAATTGCCATAAGCCATTTGTTTTTCAGACTTTCGGTACTTGGGAAGCGAAAAGTTGAAACATAGCTTTCTGTTTTCAAAGCAGAATTATAGTTTGCACACAGCAACAACGAGGCATATTGTCTGCGTCAAATACTTGATAAATGAAAAAAGAAAAATACAACCTGAATTTGCACGTTTTCAATAGTTGAAATCCTTAGCGTCCTGAGGCGCGAACAGCCACAGTCACACTTCTTAGTTTATTTTTAAAGCACAGAAGCACTACAACTGGAGTCTATTTCTCATATATTATAGTCACCGATCACTTTGAACACATACACACACTTTGAAGCTTAGAAAACAAGCTTATCTCTTAATTACAGCCTCTGGGATTCCCAAATCACAAATTGAAAAGGTGTTTTCTCAGCGTTTTGAGCACGAGTTGCGTCGATGCAGCAAGCAGCGGCGGGAGTAACACTACCACCTACGTTGCCAGATTTCTTTGTTCACGGCTCATAGTTGACGTCGGCTGTGATGAAACTTACTTGCTGACTACAAATTTTGCCTTAACTTAGAAAAACTTAATGCCATTTATTTGTTGATTACCCAATTTAAAAACGTTTTAGATTAGATTGTAAAAATTAGTAAGATTGTGGTCGATATAAAGCACTTAAAGTTGTAAACTATAAAGCCATTTAGACCAAAATCTATTGACCTTTGGACCATGGGACATATGAACTTTTTGACTTGTTTTGACCCCCCTATTACCCATTTCAATAATGACTACCATAACGTTTACACCCTGTATTAATCTAACAAAAAAATACATGATCTTTAAACTCGAGGATAATCTGAACCTTTTTTGTTGGACAATTTTTGCTGTTTCTCTGAAAATAAAGTGATGGGCGGTTTCTGTCGAAAAGGCTGAGCCGATTTTAACAAACTTGAGCTAGTTGAAAAGAGCTATTCTTGACTTGCCTTGTTTTTTTATTTATGGGGACGGTGAAAGGATATCGTATTCAGACTCGACCTACAACCGCAGAAGATATGAAAAACCGGATTTGCAATGCAATACGTAACATACAGAGTGCCGAAATTGAAGCTGCAGTTTTGCCTACGCATGACAGCATTTACCTTTCTTTTTTCAATCGGTCCATTTTAAGGTCACACCTTAATAATAAACAAAAATTCCAGGAAAATTAAGGAATTTTCAGATAAAATTCTCTTTGGTCTAAATTTTAGCTTGCCATCAAGATATCGAGGTGCGATTTTCGCGAGCTTGTTTAGACATAATTTAGCTACTTTTTCATAAAAAAGTTCTGTCGGAATATTTAAAAAGTCCTCTAGTGGCCACATGTGAAGCTACCAAACTTCAAATATAAAATTTTTAGTTTAGTATCGGATTGATAAAGAAAAATATTATACACTTTCATCCTTTGAGGAGCAAATATCGAATTATGCTTTAATACTAACAGAGATTATAACATACCTAGTGGCCCTCTAGGTTCTTGTTGGAATCTGCTTTTGTACTGTTGTATCATCGCTTTCACTTTCGGCATGTCACGTCCATAAATGATCAAATCATTTCCCGATTCTCGTTGCAAGGCGTTCAAGTTTGTCTTTTCTTCGGCTGCAACATGTTCGAATATACAATTTGAGAATTGCTTTCAGTTTATTCTGCTTTCAATTTCAAAAATATTTGCAGACACAGCCTACTTCTAAAAATTAACGAGATACTGACTTTTTAACGTTATTTTACCATAAATAATTAAAAATGCATCGAACCTTAAAAATCGAAATATATCAAAAACGGCTAACTATAACGAAAATTCACAACAATAAACTGAAACACCCTGTATATAGTTTATGCACTGAATCAAAGCAGTTACGTCACAACGTCAAACAATGACAGTGACGCACATGGTTGCCACATTAATTAAAACTACTAGATCCTAGGACGTTTAGTATACATTCTTTTAACTGCCTAATACCTCTCTTACGGACTCCATTAGCTCAATGATCTCGTTCGGTTTAAAAATAATATTTCGTCAAAGAAATTACGAATTATTATGCTTGTCGACCCAGAGGTTTCGGCATTTTAGCAAAATGCTCAAAAGGACACCTCAAAGTTTTGATATAACAATCCAAATATTGAGGCAAAAAGAACGGAAATAAACCACAAATAAACAACAGCCGTTGGCTTAATTAGCTTCGCGACAACGTCACAACACAGAAAGCCCGGGAAATTCAAACTATACGTACCAATTTAGGATCTATTTTGCATTAAGGTGGGCATTCAGATTTACTAAATATGACGTAACTGCTTTGTTTCAGCGAATAAACTATAATGGTTATTAAAAATGCTTTTATTACAGTTAATCCAGGCGGTTGGGCCCCAGCGTCAGTGTTACGGGCAGTGTATAAAAGGGAATATCCAAAATTCCTCAAACGTTTCACAGCGTACGTCGTAAACCAAACAAAAAACAAACCTATCATGTTTTAGTTGTAAGGTCAGGGATTATTTTAATTTTACACTGTTTTATTTTTAATAATGTATATTCATTAAAATTATTTTATATTTTCGTTTCGTTTTTCTTTTTAATCCAAACGCTATTTTTGATGCCGTCCGCGTAGATCTGTGTAATAGATGCGATTCAAGTGAAAATGAATTTTAGTAATTTGTGATGCTTTACATTTAAGGAAACTAGCGGAGTAGAGTGTAGTTGTACACGAATAGTTGACACATAAGTGCCAGATGTTGTCAGAACCGACGAATTCGGACTAGGTAGGATGTGCAAGGTTACGATTTATTTTTCTACAAAATCTCGGTCTTTACTCAAGAAAAAACTGCATACAATGTTTGTCCAGAAAATACGTATAAAAGTGGAATAATAACTTTATTGTACAATTGTTCAGGTATTTCAATATGGTTTCCTTCAAGGTACAACGCCGTTTCCACTGTTGATACGATCGCTGAAACTCTTCAATTGTGAGGCTCCTCGTTTGCCGTGTCGTTTCTGACTTGATGGCTCACACATCCCCAAAGTGCCGCCCCCGAAGCACCATGGATGCAAGTTACAAAAGTTAATAACACTATTTCATCAAAAGTTGAAAATACGTTGGGTGTTCCACAGGGCAGTATCTTGGGACCACTTCTTTTTATTTTATACATAAATGATTTACCCGCCATAGTCAAAAAATGCAAAATTCAGATTTTCGCCGATGACACTATGATTTATATAAGTACTAAAAATATTCAGTCTGGTATCTCTTATATAAATGAAGACTTGAAGCTTGTCTCAAAATGGTTAGCATCTAACAGACTAAAATTAAATGCAAGTAAAACGAAAGCCTTGTTAATCGGAAAAAAACAATGTACAAATCTTCAACTGAATATTGATGGTGAAGATATTGAATTCGTAGAAAATTTTAAATACCTGGGGGTTTTTGTTGACTCTCGATTAATTTTTGATATTCATTATGAAAAAGTTATAAATAAGGTTAGTAGTGAAGTGGGATATTTATCGAGAGTTTCTGGATGTCTGAGTTCATATAGCAGAAAAATAGCATAATTCTTCCAAATTTCTTGTACTGTTCGACTATTCTATATTTAGCAAATAATTCCATTTTTGAAAGACTGCAAATTTTACAAAATAAGTGCATGAGAATAATACTAAATAAAGATAAATATACTCCAATTAGGCAGCTTAACAAATTAAAATGGCTCAATGTAAAAAATTTTTTCAAATATCTTGTAATGATATTAAAGTAAAAAATAATATATTTCCATCAAGTCTAACTAATTTAACATCATCAAATGTCGACCATCATTTACATAATACCAGAAATAAAGATGACTTCCTATTAATGACCAAAAAGTATAACATATACTACAAATCTGTATTCCATCAAGGGTTGATTGAATATAATAAGTTATACTCTGAGATAAAAGACCAGAAAACTTTGACAAAATTTAAAGTAAAACTGAGAAATCACTTGTTAAATCTACAATTATAGGTTGCCCAGCATTTACATCATACACCATATGGCTTGAATTTACTAGTTCTAAGTTGTTTACAATTATTCTGTTTATGTAGCCAAATGTGCTAAATAAATCCTTCTACTACTATTACTACATTATAATGGGTGATTTTTTTGCTAGTATCTTTTTGCCAACACTGTTTTTGACAGATGACGCGTGAATCGTGTCTTGTGTCATTGTCAAACTTGTTCAGTTTGGTCTATAATTTAACCATGAATCGACTTACGAACGAACAACGCTTGCAAATTATTGAATTTTACTGATCAGAATTCATGCTCGGTTAAGAGAGTGCATCGAGCACTGCTTCCAACTTATGGGCAATTTGGTCGGCCTACTGAGGGAGCTATTCGGAATCTTGTGACTAAATTTCGAACCCAGTTTACATTATTGGACATTAAACCACCAACACGCAGACGTAGAGTGAGGACTGAAGAAAATATTGCGGCTGTATCCGCCAGTGTTAGGGATGACCGTGAAATGTCGATTCGCCGCCGTTCGCAACAATTGGGCCTCTGTTACTCCACTACGTGGAAAATTTTGCGACAGGATTTGGGTGTAAAACCTTGTAAGATACAGCTGGTGCAAGAATTACCTCCCACAACGTTTCCAATTTGGCGAATGGGCGCCGGCAAAGTTGGAGGAAGATCCACATTTTTATCGAAAAAATGTGTTCAGCGACGAAGCTCATTTCTGGTTGAATGGGTACGTTAACAAGCAAAATCGCCGCATCTGGAGTGAAGACCAGCCAGAAGCATTGCAAGAGCTACCAATGCATCCCGAAAAAATCACTGTTTGGTGTGGATTATGGGCCGGTGGCATCATCGGGCCGTACTTCTTCAAAGACGACAATGGCCGGAACGTAACTGTGAATGGCGAGCGCTACCGTGCGATGATAACAAACTTTCTTTTGCCCAAAATGGAAGAGCCGGACTTGGCTGACATGTGGTTTCAACAAGACGGTGCTACATGCCACACCGCACACGAAACAATGGCCCTATTGAGAGGCGAGTTCGGTGAACAGTTTATCTCACGTCAATTGGCCGCCTAGATCGTGTGATTTAACGCCGTTGGACTATTTCTTGTGGGGCCATGTTAAGGCTAATGTCTACATGGATAAACCAGCAACGATTGAAGCCAATATTGAAGCATTTATTCGTGAGATACCGGCCGATATGTTGGAGAGAGTGTGCCAAAATTAGACCTTGCGCATGGGCCATCTAAAGCGGAGCCGCGGCCAACATTTACATGAAATAATCGTTAAACATTAAATTATATCGACCGTTCTATCGACTCAAATAAAGATTTAATCGTTTTTACAAATTGTTTGTGTTTTTTTTTGAAAAGCAAATCGTATACCTCTTAAAAAATCACCCGTTAGATTATTTCTAGACCCTTGTTTATAAGTGAGGTAGCGTTTCCATCATTATTTAGGTCTAATGATAGATTTCGCTATCGTCGACGTAGGTCATTATTTAACAATTTTCAATAATTGTTGTCAAATTTGAGGTGAATAATGTGAACAGTATTTTTATTTTTTTTTTATTAGCTCAGTTGATGCAATTTTGTCGCCTAATGAAAATAGTGCCGAAAAAAATTCACAGTCTTCTCGGAAAGTCGCAAATAATTCAATTTTGATGAGCGTATTGAAAGCTTTTGAAAAATCAAGTGTAGCATAACTTCTATCAAAGCGGTCATGATATCACTTATAGATATTACTTACAAATTTTGTTATCAATCTGTCGTATTTCTTTATGCAAATTATCGACTTCCTCCTTTCTCCTGGATAGGTCACTTCTTATTTGAAATAGATCATTTTTAGAAGTTTCAACTTGGCTATCCAATCCTTTGAGTTTGTCCTGCAGGGCGGCTACGCTTTTAATTTTCTGCATTTTTTCCTGCTCCACTTTGGACATTCTGAAAAAGTAGATGCAAACGTGTGGCGTAGAACATTTTTCCAAAGACCTTATATTCTGGATAGAGAATAGTTAATGATTTTTTTTATACTCCAACTACCAGGGGCGGCTGGCCCTTTAGTTCTGCAAGAGCTGCAGAACTGCCAAAACTTTTGTATTAACAGAAAAAAGCAGTAGTAACTTGATCATTATTTATTTTCCATGTTATCACACAAATAAAAACAATACCGGCCTGCCCCCGCAAGACACGGCGACGAGTCTGTTTTGTACTGAGAAAGCATTATAATCGACGGATTGTGTACTTGTCATTTTCATCGCGGCCGCAGCGTAGCATTATTCATGGGCCACTTGAAAAGGGTCTGTGCACTACTTCGACACAAGCCGCACGCGCTTGCTTTTGTCTCTGTCTACAAAATCAAATGCGCGATTTAAGCATAAGCATGTGCTGCAAGTTCTACAGATCCGTACAGATCTAATGCGAAGTACGATATCTGATTGGTCGGTCGGTGCTCGGTATACAATTTTGAATTGGCGCTACGGGGCCACAACGAAACCGAGAGCTCCCGAAATCCGGGAATATTTCGTGGACTGATTAATTTGTCGCTGACCTTGATACAACCTTAAGCGAACACATAAAAAATGCTTCAATATTCAAAGGAACTTCGAAAGAAATACAAAACGATCTACTGGATTGTATTCTTGAAGTTTTTCATGAAGAAATAATAAAACAGATAACAGAGCGTCGTATTTGGAGGTTATACAGGGTGACTTTGAAGTTGAGTCATTAATTTTCAGATAATGATTGTAGAAGGAAGATAAACCAAAATATGTGTGTATAAATAAAAAAGATTAAAAAAAAAATGTTACCTTGTTTTATAAAGTATCCTCCCGACAAGTATTTCAGTGCGGACCTGTATTTGATCGTGCGGTCTTGGAGCACCGGCATGCCCTCCCCTGTGAGGTCTTAAGTCACCTGATTCACGAGCCCTTTGTACTACATTAACAAAGGCACGAGGGGTTGGTTGCACTCGATTGGGAAACCGATCCGCATAAATCCGTGATGCCGCGTAAATAAGAATCATGTCCACAAGTTCAGCATTTTCGTAAACATGTGCCATTTTTGATTTCGTTTGAGCCACGCAACAGACACCACTATTCGCTCACGCGTTACCGACTGACACTGACTGTATACAACTGAGTAAAATAATTGTAAAAACATCGTTCCAAATTCTTTCGCTTTTTTGTTTCCGATGCGATGAACCGATAAGGCGGATTATATCCGTTGTTGCCAAACACGAGCACATAATATTATTATTGAGACAGGGCGGTACTCAAACTTCCAAAGGGCTATAACTTTGTTACTTTAATTTTACCAGAAAAATGGTAAAGGAAAAAAACATTTCTTTTGATCAGATCTACTCACTGTTAAAATAAATGACTCAACTTCGAAGTCTATATATATGGGGTTGTCCAAAACGGACGCACGAAAGTAAACGCATATTAAAACAAGAAAGATTGATATTCAAATCAAGTTGGGTACTTTATTTTGAAGGTTCATTTATACCATTTATGTATGAAAAATAATATCGCTCAAATGTTCACCACGACTGGATTTACAGACGTCCACGCGATGGTCGAAATTTTCAATGACATTTTGCAACATGGTCGGTTCTATGGCATTTATCTCGACAATGATGTTGTTTTTGAGTTCTTGGAGGGTGGCTGGTTTGTTGACGTAGACTTAGCTTTTCAAATATCCCCATAAAAAGAAGTCCAAGGGAGTCAAATCGCACGATCTTGGTGGCCATGGCACATTTCCTCTGCGCGAAATCACGCGATCACCGAAGAAGGACTGCAATCGATGGATATTGACGTTGGTTGTGTGGCATGTTGCACCGTCTTGTTGGAAATAAACATCGTCCATATCCATTCCTTCAAGTTGCGGCAAAAAATAGTCCTCTATCATCACGTGATATCGGTCAGAATTGACGGTAACGGCGTCCCCGGCCGCATTTTCGAAAAAGTAAGGTCCGATGATGCCTTTTGACCACAATGCACACCACACAGTCACTTTTTGAGGATGCATCGGCTGCTCTTGATACTCACGGGGATTTTCGTTCGCCCAGATGCGGCAGTTTTGCTTGTTTACCGTCCCATTCAAAGTGAAATGCGCTTCGTCGCTGAACATGATTTTTGATGAAAAATTGGCATCAATTTGGCAGTATTCAAGGAGCCAATCTGAGAACGTTCGGCGCGAAAAATGGTCGGCCCGACGCAGCTCTTGCGTCAATTGGATCTTGTGGAGAATGCGGAGCAAACTGGTTCTCGAAATGCCCAATTCTTGGGATCGACGCGTTGTTGATTGTTTCGGATCGTCTCTCACACTCTCCTTCACAACAGCAATATTTTCCGGTGTGCGAACGCTCCTTGGCCGGCCAGAGCCTGGCAGATTTGCCACAGAACCTGTTACCTCGAATTTACGCACCAGACTACCGATGGTTGTTTCGTTTGGGCGGTTGTTGCGATCGAAATGTTCACGAAGCGCGCGAAATGTGTTTTTAAATAAAAAACAAATATGCTAGGACTAAGGCCCGTATCGTCAGTCGTCCCTACAATTGTAGGGCGCGTTTATGGCCTCGTTGATTGTCATACCTTTCTCTCCTTCAAAAATTTCTAGATTACACTTGTCCCGTGTCAGCGTCAGCGCTCTCCTATTGTGAAGATATGTTTTCTTTTTAAATTGTAGGAAATTTCAGGCTGATAAAACATGATATAACTGAAAAGCAAGCACAATTTGATGCAAATAGATGTTTGTGACATAACCTCAAAATAGAGCGCTGACACGGAGAAGTAGAAAACTATGACAATCAAGGAGGCCATAAAGGCGCCCTACAATTGTATTGTTGACGATACGGGCCTTAGTCTATGTTAGAAGAACTGCAGTGGTTGGATGTGAAAAATTTCATATATTATTTAGATCTCGTTTTCTTATTGTATTAAAAAATCATTTATTACCACCACATAGAGAACTTCACAAAATTAAATAGTCATTATCATAACTACGAAACTAGACGCAGTATAGATTTTCATCTGCAAAATTGTAATAGTATCCTAAGTAGTAAATCTATATTTTAAAAAGGAGTTTTTGTATTCAATAAATTGAATAATGATATTAAACAGAGTTCGAATTTAAAAAAGTTTAAGGTAAAATAAAAAAAAAACACTTGAATAATCAAAATACATAGTGACGTAATTTTAATTTTAATAGACAAGAATGTAAAATTACAGAAAATGGATTTAAGAAAAATATGTAACCGAATCTTTATACAAAATTGGCATTGTAGCATTAATGCTAAATAAATCTTCAACAAACAAACAAAAGTTAGAGTTTTTCGAGAGTGATGGTATCAAAAGCAAATTTTAATACTTAAGTTGTATGATTGCATCTTAAGTTTTTTTTATCTTAAAATCCGTATTATTGATATGCTTACTGCGTACTTACTTTTCACTATGACTGGCGATTTCTTTTTCTAGCGTAGCTATATCACCTTTTTTTGACTGAAGCGAAGTTTGCAACTGCGATTTATGCCTCTTTTTATCATTATACTCTCGTGCCAACTGTTCGATTTTCGATTTTATTTCCTGCTGTGGTCTTTGCTGAACTTCAATTTGTTTTTTGACCTCCGAAATTTGTTGTTGTAGGTCGCTAAAAAAACAATATGCAATTATTACTTAACGACGTTGGAAGATATCAGTCGCATAAGATTTTTTTGTTTGTTAAAAGTAGATATCACAGGACATGTTACTGGTGACGCAATACCAAAATATACTAAGTGACATATAAATCCGAACACCCAGTTTAAATGGTTTTATTTTAATAAAAGTTGGTGAATGTATTTATCTTACTGTAAATAACAAGAGAAACAATTTTCAGCCTTATCAGTTGGACATTCCGGTTTTTATACTGCTCTTTTTTAATTCACTAACGCTCTAAAAATGAATATTTCAGCCGCAGTAACGAATCAACGTTGGCGGATTTTGGTTCTTGACATCCTTTACGATCGGTTACGATGCCTAGAGTACGGAGACCTGTACGATTTCGTCAACTTAGTGAGTTTGATAGGGGCCGTATAGTGGGACTTCGGGAAGCTGGACTTTCTTTTCGGGCAATTGCAGTTAGAGTGCAAAGAAGTGTAGACACTGTGGTTAGGTGTTGTCAGGCATGGCTTCGAGAAGGCCGTACGCAAAGAGCAAGGGGCACTGGACGCCGCCGTAGAACAACAGACCGTGAAGATCGCCGCCTAAGATTATTGGCCTTAAGGGACCGTTTCTCCACTACCAGGTCCATTGCAAATGAGTGGTTTGCAGAACACGGAAGACCTATTGGCATGCGAAGTATTTACCGACGAATGAGAAGTTTTGGCTTGTTTTCATACCGGCCACACTGGGTCCTCCCTTTAACTCGAGAACACCGACGTAATCGCCTTGAGTGGTGCAGACAACGGTCACTCTGGGATCAGGAATGGAACAGTATTGTCTTTAGTGACGAGTCTCGATTTTGTTTAGGCATGCACGATGGTCGTGCCAGGGTTAGAAGGCGACGTGGTGAAAGGAAGAATCCACAGTTTTTTGTTGAAAGACATGTTCATCACACTGTTGGAGTTATGGTTTGGGGGTATATCCATGAAGTTCTAGAACCCCATCTTTTACCCTATCTTCGCACCCTGGCAGATCCAACTTTCCAAGAAGATAATGCCCGACCACATGTTGCAAGAGTCACATTAGACTTCTTTCAAAATAATGATGTCACATTGTTACCATAGCCACCAAGATCTCCCGACTTATCCCCAATTGAGCACGTGTGGGATATGATGGGTAGGAGATTGCTCAATTTGCAACGTCCTCCTCAGACTCTAGAAGCACTTCGAGAGGAGTTGGTGGTTGCCTGGAATGAGATACCACAGGAGGACATTGACCACCTGATCAGAAACATGCCTAGGCGCGTTGGAGAATGCGTAGCACATCAAGGTGCATCCACACATTATTAAAGGTCAAAGGGCTTCAAAGCAGTGCAATCATTTTGAAATTTTTATCATTTACTTATTATGCTTCATTAAGTACTTATACTAAAGTTTATTAAAATAAAACAATTTAAACTGGGTGTTCGGATTTATATGTCACTTAGTATATCTAAAGTACTTTCGAAGATGTAATATAAACATGAAGTTATCACCTGTAGCTAAAAAATGCATACAGTAGCGGACAGAAGTTTGAAAGCATTCATAGTAATTTTTAAAAAGTGTGCTAATTTTTTTGTCTTAATTATTAAGGACTATTTTTTTCTTATATACATGGTTTGTCCGAAAAGTAATAGGACTGAGTCGATTTAAAAAAATTGTTCTTTTCGATTCGGTAAATTATAGGCAACATAAAATATCTGTTTTTTGCAGATTGAGTCTGGTTATGGTACGGGTTCGGAAAACAGCTTGCAGCGCCATGGCTCGACAGTCAGCCTCCAGTCAAACACGTACAGTACGTCGTCCGGTAGCAGCTTTAAACGCTCTTCGAGAAACATTAAAGAAAAAACTGGCAGAAATTGAAACGTTCAAGGACATACTTTGCCGACAAATCGATACTCTGCAAATGTATTTCGTATTTGCGTGGAGCAAAATGCCACCAGCTGTTTACCTGATGAAGGTTGGTATTTTTAGAGGCGTAAAGGTAATTTTTGCTTTGCCACAACTTATAGAAATGTTTAAATGTTCAAGCATTGCGAGTAGGTAAATAAATTATTGCAAGTAGACCTTATATCATTAAACTTTTCTTCATAAAATTGTTTGAGGAACACTTACGTGATTTTTGCATTGAGCGCGTTTTCCTGTTCCGACCTTTTACTGGAACTACTTTTGAAATCATCTAGTTTTTTCTCTATGCTTTCAACATTAGATTTCTCTTGCTCGAGTTCTTCCTCGACGTCTCTGACTTTAGCCCATGCCAGCTCTATCTGGAGTTGTTTCTGCTTGTCCTTCAGGCTGCTCATAGAATCGTGATGTTCAATTTTCTTTTTCAATTTTTTCAGTTCGTCTTCTAAGTTCCTGAAATTCTAAGCACAAAAGTAATGAAAGGTAATAAAATAATACATGTGGATCATTCGAAGAAACTAATGGATGATGAATTAAAATTTGTTGAACACATCAACCATCTAATTACTCGGTGCTACGGTATTCTCAGAGTTTTATTTGCAAATAAGTCTATATTACACAAATCTGTGAGAAAGCAATTGTGTGAATCTTTCTTGCTTTCAAAAATATCATATTGCTTAGTGGTTTACTATCCCTAGTTAGATATTAGCACAAGAAATCATATTCAAAGTATTATTAATTATGATTTTTAAATGACCTCGGAAAATATGATCATATATATCGAAGGGCAAATGGATGAAAATTGATAAAATGTATAAATGTTAGCTCCTGAGTCTGACTCATAGGGTTGTTATTCGAAAACACCGTCATATTTTGTAACGAAGTTAATACGTAGAAGAAATATGCACAACATTAATATTACATATAGAGAGACTTTTTCAATTCCATGCCACAAAACACCTCTATTCCAAAATATATATATATACAGTGAAAGCTCTCCATGCGGACAGCTCCTATAAGCGGACATCTCTTTTAACCGGACAAAGTTCCTGGTACCGAATTTCAGCCATCAATTTTCAATGTTAAATGCATTCCGATAAACGGACGCTCTTATAAACGGACGCGGACACTAGATTTTCCTGTATGTGATCAAAAAATCTCCCATACGCGGACGCGAAACTCTAATACCCGGACGATTTTTTAGTTCCGCTTATTGCAATGCACATATCTACATACATAAAATTCGGTAATTCCCCGATTTATATTAGGTGATTCCCCATTTACGCATTTCGTTGGGTAGCCTGTATGTAATCTTGTGGCTTGTCTTCAGTTCAGGCAAATTCGTAGTTGATTGAGTTACGTATTTTATTATTGTAACTGTAAAATGGCACCAAAAAAAAGGATGCTCTCGTTAAAAGAAAAGATGGAAGTTGTTAACGTATTAGACAGAGAAAGTGTTTCAGTTCGTCATTTGGCAAAGAGGTTTAATATTGGGAAAACGCAAGCAGCTGAAATTGCCAAAAATAAGGAAGATATCAGGAGTAAATGGCAATCAGGAAGTAATATAAATCAAAAGAAGGATTTTTTAAAAAAGGAAGGTTTTGCTATAGACAAAACATGTTTTGAGTGGTTTGTGAAAGCTAGAAGTCAGAACATTCCAATCTCAGGGCCGTTAGTGAAAATGAAAGCTAAAGAAATCGCCACTACTTTGGGCTATAATAATTTCAGTGCGTCCGACGGGTGGCTGCAAAAGTGGCGCAAGAGACATAGTGTGAGTTTCAAATGCATATCTGGCGAAGCTGCTGCAGTAGATCAAGTTGATGTGTCACTATTTTTGGAGAAACTTCCGTCCATGTTGCTTGGCTACAAACCAGAAGATGTGTACAACGCAGATGAGAGTGGACTTTTTTTTCGCGCATTGCCCGACAAAACTCTGTCCTTTAAAGGAGAAACATGTGTGGGTGGAAAGTTGTCTAAAGATAGACTAACCATTTTATTCTGTGCAAATATGGCCGGTGAAAAATGCGATTTGATTGTGATCGGGAAAGCGGCTCGTTCCCGTGCTTTAAAAAACGTTGCTATTAAGGATCTACCAGCGACTTGGAAATCCAACAAAAAGGCATGGATGACCCGAGAAATCATGTCTGAGTGGTTAGTCGAATTCGACCGGAAAATGAGAATCCAAAAAAGGCAAGTTCTTTTATTTTTAGACAATTCATGCTCTCATCCTCGTGATATGAAAATGAAAAATGTGAAAATTATATTTTTACCGCCAAACACAACTTCTGTTTGTGAGCCCATGGATCAAGGTGTCATACAGAACTTTAAATTTTATTAGCGGCACTTGATTTTAAAACATATTTTAACGAAAATTGACGATGGTCAAAGCTTATCTGAGCTTACAAAGTCTATCAATGTGTTAGAAGCTTTGTATTTTATAAAAACAGCATGGAATAAAGTAAATTCCTCTACAATTAAAAACTGTTTTGGCAAAGCTGGATTCAGAAAAAGTGAATGTAGCTCAGAATTTGCTGAGCAAAATTATTGCGATACTGAAGACGATCTGCCCTTAGCGACACTTGCTCAGTTACTGCGACATGCCAAACATTTAGGAGTAGCAGATCCCCAGAAAGTAGATGATTTCCTGGCCATAGAGAATAACATAACAACAGAAGAAAATGCCATTGGCAACTTTTCGAATTTGGATGTAGAAAGCCCAGGCCAACTTGAATATGGTAGTCCAAACGACTCAGAAGAAGAAGTGGAACTAGTGGACTCACTAAGCGGTTCAAAAACGATAAATTCATATGGGGAAGCTCTAAATCATATTTCTATATTGAAAAAATTTGCTAAAGATGATTTCACTGCATTTCAACATTTGAAAAATTTAGAAAGTTATTACGAAAATTGTCTCCTTCAGCAAAAGATGGTGAAATTTCGTCAGACAAACATTTTAAACTTTTTTCAACAAGCTAAAGAATAATGTTTTTTTAAATTCTCGTACCATGTATTGAAGCATTTATGTTTTTGTATGCGTATATGTACATATATTATATAGATATATAGCATAAATACATACTTTAAAAATGTGGCGAGTTTCTGTTTCATTTTTCTCATGATTATAATACCTCATTTCCTCATGATTATATACCCCGTTATTTATACTCTATACTTACATACTCTCTTTTAAACGGACACCTCCCATAAGCGGACAAAAGTTACGCAACCGTGAGTGTCCGCTTATGGGAGCTTTCACTGTATATATATATTTACAACGCCATCAAATTATGTATATAATTCTTCAGATGGTAGTTCCAAAGAAACTAGTTCATTACCTAAATTCAAGAAAAAAGTGAAAGTTAATATTACATATAGAGAGACTTTTTCAATTCCATGCCACAAAACATCTCTATTCCAGAATATATATATTTACAATGCCATCAAATTATATAATTCTTTAGATGGTAGTTCCGAAGAAACTAGTTCATTACCTAAATTCAAGAAAAAAGTGAAAGAAATTTTACTCGATCAGCAGCAAAATCTGTTGTAACCCATAAGTGGTAACTGACCTTTGGGGCCGTTCAAGTATTACGTAAGCAGATTTATTACAATTATTTACCCCCCCATCCACTTTGTCAGCAAAAGTAAGCAAAGCTCTTACAACATTTGTCAATTAATGTATTGTTTTTTTTTAATATTATAATTATAACGTTATAATTATAATTTGAAAAAAACCATTTAATGTCTGGAAAATCAGGAAGATCTTGTTCACCTGCCCCAACGTATTTTGCATTAACATTATAGCCATCAATTTCCATTGAACTCCGTACTTCAGCTAATACATTTCCTGCAAATTCGAAATTAGATCTTTCTAAATGTTCATCAATTCTAACGCCACGTTCATCCAAATGAGACCCAAAATGGTCATGAGGCAATATTAAGCCAGCCAGTTCCCGACTAAGAGGAGCCATTCTGCGCTCTACTCTGTTATACGCACTTCTTCCAGGAGCATCGGTAGCTAAAAACAATGCTTCGAGATCATGTCGCTTAAAGTGTTGTATAGCAAACCCTATGACTTTTTGATAACGTGGATTTTCATCTGGCCCTCCTTCAACCGTCATGATTACCACTGGTTTTACTAGTCCATGGTCAGTTTTAGCTAATGGTTGAAACTCTTCAAGTTCGAGAAGCGTCTCGAAATCCTGAGCATGAGTATTAGCAGTAGATGAACTGTGCTTTCCACTTCGAATAGCGGTGTATGTTGGTCCAGAATATCGAGCGGCTTGCTGTTGACCTAGCATATTGGAAGTGATTTTGATATCAGCGTAAACAGATGGTATTAATTTATGACGCTCAGCGATTACCCAATCGTGATCAGGCAATTTGATTCTATATTCCATGTGCATTAGAAGAGGTGCTTGCTTATTTGCCGCAGTTACGCCAATAGGGACTCGAGCTTTATCATCTTGAGATATGAAAAATACTTGATCTGGTCCAAGTATGGATGCTATGTTCTCTAAATAATCGATTGATGTTTCAGCGAACTTGCTCTCTAAGTGGCTCTTGTGGTGATCAGTTTGAGCCCGAATAAGCTTAACAGGGACTGTCGATACATGTCGAGGCTTCACTACTTCCTGAATATAGCGTCGGGATGTCATATTATATTCTAGGCCAATTTCTCTGAAGATGGTTTAGGAAAACGAGATGTCAATGAAATTCAAGAAAACTTTCATTCATAGGCAGTTGACCGGAACACCAAAAAAGAAAGAAATTTACAAAGAAACGGTCATAGATCAGATATTTTCTATTATCATGTATGCAGCATGTAACATTTCTTACCTCTCTTTTTTCGCTGAGTGTTTGCTCCGACTTTTGCTTATTCTCTTCCGTTTTTGTATACTCCATACGAAGTACATTTAGTTTAGTAGCCTTCATGAACAGAGCGAATTTCTTTTTTCCATCACTGCTGCTGAGAAAATTTCTTGAGGTATCTTGATTCAGGATACATACAGGATTATCAACTTGTATATTCAATCCGGCCGTTATATTTTGCACTTCTTTAGCGTGTGTAGATACAACTTCGCCTAAGGAAAAAGGTTTTGTTATACAGGGTGGTCCACCGAAAAACGCTCGAACACGTCAATTTTGACTTCTAGGGGGATGTCGTACGATACAAGGTGATCCAAAAATGAGATATTGCGTTGGACATTTTTAAATGGATATCCGCATTTTTTTAATTTTTAGATTCTCCATTTAGTTTTTAGCAACTTTTGTATAATAAAGTTTATCTATCCTAAATCGCTCAATCAAACAATCAATCGTTCGCTATGTGAAGTGTACGATAAAATTCGACTAACTTATTTTTGAATCACCCCGTATTGTGCGGCTATAGATGAAAAGACGCCTCGCTAAAAATCAAAATTGACGTGTCCTTGCGTTATTCCTAGAATATACCAGGATAATCACAAATGGAGCTCGACCTTTCCGTTGGGCCACTCTGTATATTTTTAAGTAGCATAATGATAGTACAGGGTGGCCCATAAGCCCTTTGAGCTGGAAAAAAAGGAATAAAACCAAACTATACTCTAGGCGCTGAAGAAAGAAACTAAACCCAAACAAATACACGCATATTGCTCGTGAGTGAGTGTCTAGGCGCAGGAGACATTACAGGACCGCATCAAGATATTATGGGTAGTCATCAAAAATTTCATACAAGATAATTATTATCTTTTACAGTAAATTTCAGTTAGAGATTCACAAATGAGTTAACTACACTTTTTAGTTATTAGTAAGTAAGCTGCGCGCACTCATTCAGAAGAGGAACTTGAATCTTCTGAATCGTTTAAATGAATTATTAGAGGTTCAATTTGGGTATCGATGACATTGTCCAAATCCCACATTTTGACCTCAACCTTCTCCCGAACGTGGCGGATACAGTTTTTCCATTCCTCTGCCGTAACTCTATTGACTGCGATGTGAAAGAGATTTTTAACATCAGAAAATTTTTAAGTATTATTATTCGACGCCACGTATTGCTTTATGTTGGCCCAAATCAGCTCAATAGGGTTCAGCTCACAATGGTAGGGTGGCAGTCTCAAGACAGTTTTATTTTGTTTTTTGGCCATTTCGTCGATCATTTTAAAATCGTATTTGTATTTATGTCTATTGACTATACTTATCAATTCACCCTTGACCATTGTTTCATCAAAATCGATCTGTTTTGAGGCCAGCCATTGTTGTATGTTTGCTTTTTTAGTTGCCATTGTGGGAATTTTTTCTATTTTTCTAGATTGGTACGGGACATTATCCAGTACAATAACAGCGTTATTCTCCAGCTTTAGTAACATTTTGGAGAACCAATTTTCAAAGGAATTGCCGTCCATCTCCTCATGATAGTCCCCTGTCTTTTTTGATTCAAAGGCCCACAGTGCTTCGGGAACAAAGCCGTCTTCACTACCTACGTGACAAATGATCAGCCGTTTGCCTTTTCCTGGAAATAAATTATTCCTTACACTATGGATTGATTAAATTTGAAGGAATGAGGCAATTGAGTTCATTTAGCTGAATTTAAGAGTCACGGAATGCTGATCAAAAACTGAAAAACGTAGAAAATTGAAGTTTGCAACTTCTCAAAACCCATTCAAAGCAAATTGACTGCACCCAAAAATGATAATAAATTTCAAAATAACGCTTAAAAGAGGGTCGAAGTTTTTTTCCTAATGACTACACTGCGAATGCACCGTTTTTGGAGAATATCACACATTATCTGCTATCACATCATATTATTTGCCCGAATTTATCAAAATTAAATTGCCGGATAGATGAAGGAGCTTACCTGCAGGATTTTTCAATCCAGCCGAAAGACCGTCTAGAAAAGCCTGCCTTGATGATGTTACTGATTTGTCGACCCAAACTTTCGCTTGAGTATGTCCAGCATTCACCCACGTTTCGTCCAAATAGTAAATTTTTCTTTTTTCATCGCGAAACTTTCGAATCTTCCTAAGGTATTCCCTTCTCCACACAACAATTTCTTCTTTCTCTATTATCATACTGTTTCTTCCCCGTTTCAAGAATCGAAAATTAAGTTCCTTCAAAAGTTTTCGGAATGTGGTTCTTTTAAATGATGGAAGATCCTCATCAGCATTAACTAATCTTAATATCTCATCTACTGTAGGTATCTCATTTCGGAAGAAAAAATTATGCACAAGTCATCTACTCCGTCCGTTATCCTTTTTCTTGCAGGATACGGTTTTGGCTCAGAAAGTGAGTGAGTGCTCCTATATTCCTTAATGATCCTATAAACACTGGACCGACATACTCCAGAAATATGTGCTACCTTACATATAACTTCGTCCACGACCAAATCGGGTTTTTTTTGAATTTGGTTTTTGTAAATATTTAATATTATTTGTTTTTCATTTGCACTTAAATGTAGCTTCTTAGCCCTTTTTTTGGGTGGGGTTGCGCTGATGTCAACCACTTCGTCGGCTGTATCTGTGTCAGACATCGTATCTTAGGCAATATATAAACAAAACGTTCCACTCGCGAAAAACGAGTATACGCTACTGAATGCGTAATGCGTATGCAATGCAATCCTGTGCGTGAATTAACTGTTAGACGCCTGTCGTGTCATCTACAATCACGTTTACAAGTCCAAACCTGTGCAGATTCGTAGAGCGCCGACGACTGCTAGTGACCTTGAATTTGTCTGTAGATCGATGTTACTCCAGTCAATTCAGGTTCAAAGTGGATGTTTTCTAAACCAATTTGTTGTTCCTACATCAAAAATATATCGATGATGTTTTGTACTGGGAGCTCATGAAAGATCAAGGTAACTTATTTTAACAGTCATCCTTTTTCTAGTCTCAAGATGACACGAAAAAGGGTCTGTGGATTCACTAGAAATACACTGCCGAGGATGTTTAGACCTAAAGTGACTGGAGTATATCCGTGGATGCTTTCGAGGGATATGTTCACGTGCTGATCACTGTTTACGTTTAATGTCTTTCTTCAGCGCCCAGAGTTTAGTTACATTATGAAGAATTATTATATTTTGTTATCATCTTTATTGAATGGGAGTAATGTTTTAAAAATCACATCGTCTAAATGCAATCCATTACGATCACGGCTCTCATATAAACGACGTCAAAAATTGTCGATGACTGCGCGGCAAGTCAACACTGTAATGCTTGCCATTTCTCTTCGAATATTTTCTTTCGGGACATCAACTGATCGCGGAGTGGTGTCGTACACTTTACTCTTGAGGTAGCCCCATAAAAAGAAGTCCATTGGGGTCAAATCTGGACTCCGTGGTGGCCAGGAAATATCTCCTCTTCGAGAAATTACTTTGCTGGGAAAAAGTTGACAGACGACGGGCATAGAAGTGTTGAGGTGTTGAAACCAGGTCTGCGTATTATAGCCTGGAAAATTCTGCAACGCTGGTGTCAAAAACTCTTCTATCATTGCTACATACCGCTCCGAAGTAACAGTTAATGCGCGACCTCTGTCGTCCTCAAACAAATAAGGGCCTACGATGCCATGCGCTGACATAGCAGCCCAAACTGTAACTTTAGGGCTGTGTAAGGGCTTCTGATGCTTACGCCTTGGATTTTCGGGGCTCCAATAACGGCAATTTTGTATATTTACATGCCCGTTTAAATGGAAGTGAGCCTCGTCCGAGAACAACACATTATTGAGCGAAGAAAATCGATTCAACATTTCATTCGCAAAGTTTAGTCTCTGAATAGCGTCATTATCTTTTAATTCCTGCACTAACTGAATTTTGTAAGCGTGCAGACGTAAATCTTTCCTTAAAATCCGCTGTAAAGATGTTCTGGGTACGTTTAGTGCACTGGAACGTTTACGAGTAGACTGGGTAGGATTTTGACGAACAGACTGTGCCACAATGTTGATGTTTTCTTCAATACGAGTTGTCCTTGGTCGACCCCACCGCTGTTTATCTAACGTCGAACCAGTCTCTTCGAACTTAGCAACCCAGTTCTTAATCGTTTGAGCTGTTGGACACTTTGTAAAATTGTGGCATTCTCGATATTTACGCCGCGCAATGGTTGCCGAATCATTATTTATCCGCTCCAGTGAAACACTCCATGGCGACTGAATTCCCAGACACTGAAGATACTGCCCCCACCTCGCCCGCGCCGCTCACGCTCACCCGTTAAATTTTATTCAAATTTGAAATTTCAAAGGACTTATGGACCACCCTGTATCAGACATTACGATATACATGGCGAATGATTTTGGTGAGTGTGCCGTTATCGGAGAATCAGGCAGTCTCAGAAGTAGGATTTGATCAAGCCTTACCATTTTCACTGCGTATTTTGTAGGAACCGCCTCCACTTGCATTTAAACTTCTCGTGATATTTATCGTTTTCCCGTAAACGGCAGGCTTGTACGCCATTGGACCTTCATTTGACAGTTCTATCTCTATGCTACCCGATCGTTCACCAGCTTTTACATATCCTGCACATAAAAAATATACCATGACTTGTATATTTTGGTAATTGCCTTTTTTAACTCTACTTCATACCTAGTCTCAAGTCTTGCCTATCTCTACCTCTACGGTATTTTTCACGAGTATATATTTTCATATGTCAAGCTTTAAAACCTCTATCTGTGTCCAGCTTTAAAAGAAAAGTTAGGCTCTTTGTCTTTGATGACATGTAGCATGTATTTTTATGTAATTTTATTTTTATATTTGTTTATTTGTGCATGTTTTCTGACTCGTCACTTTTCATTTGTTTGTGTTTTGTTTACACATTTGTTACTGTTTACTTTTAATTTTTATATCTTCCGCCATATACCTAATATTTTCTTTTTTTAAAGTTACTTCTAATCACGGTTTTTGATTCTGCTACGTACTCTGTTGCTGCACGTTTCTGTTTTGGTCTTTTGGCCATTATACCATGCGTAGGCTACGATTCTGTAAAAAAATTGTTTTCTGCTTTAAATTTTCTTATTATCTTCAGTGTATTTTTTTGTATTTGCATGTACTTGAATTTTTTTTAGCCCTGGTTGGTTCTGAAAAACAGCTTGTGCTGATGTAACCCGCCAGGTAAAACAAAGGCCATTTATTATTTATTATCATTATCCTCACAAGAGAACATCAGCTGATTATCTAGTGATATTTCAAAACTCCCCAAATCGACAAGTGACACATAATTAATGCTGAGAGATCCGTCAACGTCAATTAGATATATTTTTTCCTATGCTACAGATTCACTTTGTACTTGCTAACGACTCTTTTATTTAGAAAAGTTCCTTTGCATAAAAAAACGCTATAAGCAAAATGGCTACTAATGATCATGAGCACATTTCAAGTCAGATAGGAATAAAATAAGATAAGCAGTTTTGATTTTAAAGGATAATGAAACAGCCGGACAATTAATTCAGAATGTGTGTCAGTACATGACCGAATTGATGGAGGTACGATTTCCTGAATTGGTTCTGAACATTACTTAGGTAATTCTATTAGAAAAATGTAAATAGGATGTACGAGCCGCTTCCCACTTCAGTTGGCCCAACTATTGAAATCTTAGTTTTTTTCTTATCAAACACAAATAATAAAAATGTAGCAGTGTGTTATAGGTTTAAAATATTAACAATTAATATTTTGATAATATATAGTAGAAAACACCATCTTTATCACTCCCTAATCAAATTTGCAACATAAAAATAACACATTTTGCAATTACAGCATATCAACCTATTTTCATTTCAATGCAAAATAAGTCTATAACGCAAAGGTGGCTGTGAAAAATAAAAGCCATGACAATTGTTTTTATTAATCACAGCTGTCAGAATACGTTTAAAATAGTTTTGGATAGTTAAGGTTTTCAAAATGGGTAGAGGAAAGGTTATTAGTGAGAAAATTCGGATATTGATAATTAATTTTTTTAATTCTGGGAAATCAAACTCAGAAATTGCAACTTTGTTAGACTTATCGCGGTACAGTGTGAGAAATATTGTTAGAAGGTATAACGTAACTGGTTCAGTTAATATTAAGCCACGATATGTGAAAAAAAGTAATATCACAAATGACGACCGAAGAGCATTAAGAAGAATAATCGTGAAAAACAAGCGTGCCAATTATTTACAATTAAGTGCTCTGCGGAGTGACGCTGTTGGAAGGAGAATTTCGAGGTCCACAATTCATAGAGAGGCCCACAGACTGGGATTCAGCACTTGCAAGGTAAGTTTTCTTATAAAAAAAAAGTGAAGTAAAAACCCAAAAGTTGCACAACTTGTTTATAGGCCAAAAAAAGCCACTATTAATTCCACTGCAAAAGAAAAATCGGCTTAGATGGGCTAAAGAACATAGACAATGGACTACTCAACAATGGTGTGCAATACAATGGAGTAATGAGGCCCGATTCGAAGTTTGTGTTGGTGACAAAACTTCATTTTATTGATGGAAATGTGGATACAAACAAATATTTGTCAATTTTAGAAGAATCGCTTTTACCAGTGATGAAAGAATGTTTGACATCCGGCCAAGATTTTGTGTTTCTGCAAGATGGTGCAGCGTGCCATACCTCAATAAAGGCTATAAAATAGATGGAAGAAAATAATGTACCACTTTTGAAATGGGTTTCTAGCAGTCCAGATCTGTCACCTATTGAAACTTTGTGGCACGAGATGAAAAAGGTTCTACGACAATCACCGAACTGAGACAAAAGCTTCAAGAAATATGGGATTGTTTTACACCAAATTTTTGCCAAAACTTGGTTAACACTATGCCCCAAAGAATTTCAGCAATAATAAAAAATAAAGGTGATGTTACCCAATGGTAATCTTTCAATTGTTGTTTTGTTAACTTCGCGCATTTATTCGCACATTGTTTATTTGTTCAGATGTTCTATTAGTTATAGGTCTAAGTGATTTCAAATATGTATTTTTTACGACTAGAGTGTATCTAAAATGTTTTTGAGAAAATAAATTGTTTTAGAAGTAAATAGTTTCGTCATGTTTAGTTTATAAAGGCATATTTTGGTACAAATCTTGAAGTGGGCCAACTGAAGTGGGAAGGGGATCGTGCAACTATATAATTAATTTGATATGTCAACAATCCCTCCAAAGTTCATTATTGCCAACGTTAAAGACCAATACAAAGATGTCGCTTTTGAGATCATCTGTTCATGTCAGTAGACGTCAAAACATGGAAACTCGTGAAAAATACCATATGGGTATGCCGAAGATACATCTGAAATATGCCAGTTGTCAAAACAAAAACTTGCCTTTTATATTATTGCCCCTATTTGTCAATTTGGCTTTTCCACCAAGCCCTATTACTAAAGCTGTCAAAATGGCACTCTTACCGCTGCCATTTTTACCGATCATAATACTGATATTATTATTAAACGAGACCTCTAATAGAGAATGACACATAAAATTCTTCAGTATCATGCGATTAATAGTCCCAGCTCTTTTCTGAAAAAAAAAAAACATTCAAACAGTGCGTGTTAAATTTTATCCCAATATGACATCAATTAAATTATACAGGGTGTAAACGTTATGCTAGTTATTATTGAAATGGGTAATAGGGAGAGGGTCAAAACAAGTCAAAAAGTTCATATAAATAGATTTTTGTCTAAACGGCTTTATAGTTTACAACTTTAAGTGTTTTATATCGATCACAATCACCACAATCTTACTAATTTTTATGATCTAATGTAAAACGTTTTTAAATTGGGTAATTAACAAATAAATGGCATTAAGTTTTTCTGAGTTAAGTCAAAATTTGTAGTCAGTAAGAAAGTAAGTTTCATTAAATTGAGTATTTAAAACACACTTGACAACAGCGCGTCGGTCATCATCACTCTTGTTGAACCGGCAATCGATCGCAAACGGTAACAGTGGTTATACTACAACTATTTAAAACTGTAATGACTCATACGCGTGATCAGAGCTCGATCACGGCTTCTTTCCAGTACAGCCGTATAGCGTACGACATATGTCGTTTCTGTGGCTTTGCGGTGGTCAACAGCACAGACAGAGATGGAAATAATGGCTGATTGTTCTCCGCCGGTAGAACCAATGAAATCAAAGACGCGCCTCGACCGGCAGACTCATAGGCGTCGGCAACGCATTGGAACGTGTTTCGTTGAGCGATCGCATATTGTGTGTTTTTATAAGAATTGTTGTGTGATTGTTATTGTTGTGGTTTCTGTGGTTACTGTTTTGGTTATACTTAACCATGGAGAGTACAAATGGTACGAGTGGAAGTACTGAAAGCCAGGGAACAAGTAGACGGCTTCGTAAAGCACTGAAGAGGGACGCGAAAGAAATCGTGCTCAACGTGTTCAATTATCTGAACAGAACTATGTCGCAGGGAGATGCACTCGCGCGTTGTGAAAGTATGACAGGCGTTCCAGAGTGGACCATTCGCAGGGTGGTGCATGAAAAGAAGAAAACTGGAGCTACTACTGATACAAAGTTTAATTTGAAGGGACGAAAGGCCGTTAAATTGGATGACGATAGCAAAATGGCGTTAAGGCGAACCGTACATTCATTCTTCTTTAGGAATGAGATACCAACCCTCAAGGCTGTACATGCAGCGATCAAGGAAAATGAAATTATACCCCAAATGAGCGTCGAGGTAATGAGGAAATCCCTGCACGAAATTAATTTTCGTTACGAAACGCGTAATCGGAAGTCAGTATTGATAGAGAGACCTGAAGTAGTCGCCTGGCGTCGAAAATACCTACGCGAAGTGATTGAATATAGGCGACAAAGCAGAAAAATCTATTATTTGGACGAGACATGGGTAAATGCAGGTCACACAGTTAAAAAACCTGGATAGACAAAAACGTAGTGAGTAACCGACAAGCAAGCATTGAAGGTTTGTCAACAGGTCTTCGTGGACCGTCATGGAAAGGTCAAAGATTGATCGTAACTCATATCGGTAGCGATAGTGGCTTTTTAGAAGAGTGTGACTTGATTTTCGTCTTAAGAAAGGAGGTGATTACCATGACGAAATGAATGCCAGCTGCTTCGAGAGCTGGTTTCAAGGGGTGCTTCAGCGAGTTGAGCCCAACTCTGTGATCGTCATGGATAATGCTTCCTACCATAGTCGTCGATCCGAACGTGTACCGACTATGGGATCTCGAAAAAGTGACATGAAGCAATGGTTGCGCGAAAAAGGAATCCCGTTTGATGATTCATGTGTGAAAGCGGAATTGTATGAAAAAATTAAACAGCACAAACCTGCGAACATTAGTTACGTGACTGATGAGATGGCCCGTCAATGTGGTGTCACTGTGCTGCGGTTACCGCCCTACCACTGTGAACTGAACCCAATAGAGCTCATCTGGGCTCAAGTGAAGGGTTATATTGCACGCCATAACACAACCTTCAAATTACCAGACGTTAAGGTTTTACTTGAGACTTCCATACAGCTAGTAACGCCCGAAGCTTGGCAGAATGCTATCCGTCATGTTGTGAAGGAAGAAACAAAAATGTGGCAGCTTGACCACCACATCGACACCATCATAGAGCCAGTTATAGCAATTTCAACGAGGAAAGCGATAGCGACAGTTTATTACTGTCAGATGTAAGTGGAAGCGACGATGAATAAAGGTAATTCCCAAATTTTTGACTTACAATATGTTTCAAACCACTCTATTCATACCACGCCTATGAACAGCCGACTACTGGTAGTTAAGTGATGTTCACGTGAACATCGATGAGTCATTACAGTTTTAGATAGTTATAGTATAGTTATCCTTTTGCATAGCTTTGCGGCGTTGTCAGATTTTATTTTACTTTAAAGTCGCTTTTCTCTAAAAATATGCTGTTTTGACCCCCATGTTATATTAAACTTTTAGCTTCGTTTAACCCCCTGTATCACCCATATAAATAATGACTATCATAACGTTTACACCCTGTATATCTGTTTAATTTCTCTATTGTTCAGAGATGTGAGAAGGAACATTAAGGTGGAATGAATATTAAAAAATGCCAAAAGACCATAACCTCTGTTAAATTTAAGAATTCCGGGTTGTACACCAATATGCGGCGATAAATTAATGTTCTGCCAGATGTTGAAAAAGTCTTTGAAGAAATTATTTACGAAAAAATCATCGAATGTATCGAGGGAAATAAAATTTTAACCAAATTTCAAGCTGGATACAGGAAGAAACACTCAACTGAAATGGCAATACAAACGGTTTTAAAAAACTGACAATAGGAAAGATATAGTGACAGTATTTAACATGATATAAATCAAAAGCATGCACAATTTGATGCAAATAGATATTTGTGACATAACCTCAAAATAGAGCGCTGACACGGAAAAGTAGAAAACTATGACAATCAAGGAGGCCATAAAGGCGTCCTACAACTGTAGGAACGACTGACGATACGGGCCTTAGTGATTCTGAGAGCCTAAATATTGATCACCCTTCACGAATTCCTTATCTACCCTGCTATATCATTTGGATCCTTATCTATAATAAATTATTAGTCATTGAAAAATTTCCAATTGAAATCAAGTACCTTAGTAAATACCTTGTATTTTGTATTACAATAACCATAAATATATCATACATTACTTCCATTGAAATTTGCCTCAATTATGCGAATTGAGCCAACAAAAAACTATTTTGTTGACGATTTTGGGTCTCATTTGGATGAAATTGGTATTACAATTAATGAACATTTAGAAAGATCCAATTTCGTGTTTGCCAGAAATATACTACTAGAGATGAAGTTCAAAGGAAATTCATAATTATAAATAGGAAAATTTTTTTTATAATACCTCATAAGTAACTGTCAATGTTAGCCTATTTTAATATCCAATTCAGGCTGGTGGAACGAGTAACCGGAGGATTCACCCTTAACGAAAGTACTGGCATCTTGCTTTTGGATGTCTCAAAAAAAAAGTTTCTACAAACATGGGTCCGGAAATGCACAGTTTCCAAGATACAGGGTGATTAATTTAACATAAAAAATTTTTAATATCTTAAAAAACATTTTCTCGATTCTGTCTAAATTTGGCAATATTATTTGTTGTATCAAGAGTCTAAACAGATTTAAATTATAAGGTCCTAGAAGTACTGATGGGCAAATGTTAAAACTCCATGCAGAAATGATTTTTTGTTTTCCAGGGGACTTGGGATTTTTCTAGCAAAAATTAATAAACCAATTTTGTCCAGTGACATGCAATAAAACAGTTTTTATTTATTTTTTTCTCAATAACAAAGTGAGATATAAAAACATTCGAGAGGCAATGAAGTTGTATTTTTATATGATTAATCAAACAACATACATTACAGTATATTCAGATAAGAGATAGACCGGATGTAAACAAAAGGTTCGGGTGATTTTCACGCTAACGCCGCCGTCTCGACGTAAAACAGGAGCCCTCATTGCTCAATTCGCAATTAAATGCCTATGCCGAGCGGCAGAGCAGTCGTATCAAGGCAGAGTCACATTCAGGTTCAGACGTGTTACGTATGTCGTGTGCATCATTGCAATTTGATATTTCTTTGGACGTTTTCGTTTGTTATCTTATTAAGTTGTTGAGTTTGTCGTTGTTATTGTTATACCTTGTTATTGATTGTTATTGTTATCAACTGCTTGCGCAAAATGCCCAGTAGTACAGATACTGCCGATGAAGTTGTAAACTCCTGTAGTCCACCTAGGAAACGCTCTCATTTTGAATATATATAAGATCGAGCGCGAGGAGAACGAGGCATCAACCATCAAAGAAATTGTTGTGAAGGTTTCTCACAAAGTTGGGGTGTGTCGCGCATCAGTGTTTAATGTGTTAAGACAATACAAAAAAAATCACACCTTCTCTGAGCCAATGACCAGTAAACATCGCAAAAGTATTGTTAAATCATTGGATGAAGCTGATAAGCATGCGATTAGGAGGAAAGTGCATGAATTCTTCTTTAGGAATGAAATACCTACTATAGATAAAGTACTGCAGGAGGTAAATGGAGATACAACGTTGCCAAATTTCAAACGATCAACTTTCCATGCGTTACTGAAGCATTTAAATTTCAAATGGAAAAAACGGGGTCGTAATAGTTTACTACTACTGGATAGAGAAGAAATTGTGCTATGGAGGAGGGATTATTTAACAAAAATTGGGAAATATAGAAATCAAAACAGGAAGATTTATTACCTTGATGAAACGTGGGTAAACGCAGGACACACTACAAGTAAAGTATGGGTTGATGATTCTGTAACTTCATCCAGGAGAGCCTTCCTAGATGCACTGTCCACCGGATTAAAAAATCCAGCAGGTAAATACGAGTAATAGACAACAATCGGATGTTTTTCAAACCTTGGGAACAAGGTTCTAAACATTAATTCCAGGGGGCAGATAAAACATATTACAAGTAACAAAACTTTTATAACTTTCGATAAAATGCATGGATGTTTTATTGTCATTTTCATTTGTTAGAACTTTTTTAAGCCATGTTTTTATGTGTTTTCGATATTTCAATAATTTTTTAATATAATCTTAAAATTTCGAATATTATAAACTTAAAAAAAGTTACTAAGTTTTATATTGTGTACCGTTCCTAATATTTCTAATCATTTTAATTCATACTTTAAGCTTTATAAAGTTATAATTTGTTAATATTAATATTTGCGCGTATTTCAGGTTCCTGATCATTCATTTTTTAAAGGTTTATAACTTTAAATTAAATTGTGAAGCGCTGAGTAATCATACGACGTTCAATATTCTTTCTTTCAATATGACTAAATAATCCCAATTATAGCAATCTGATACTCATGTCTCAATGTTTTTTCGCTGAATGTGATGGAAACATTTGAAAAAGGTTCGCTTATTGAAATAAATCTACAACAGTTAGTACTTTGATTTCCAGGTAAAGGGAAAAGGCTCATTATCTGCCATATTGGCCGTGAGGATGGATTTGTTGTTGACGGTCTGTGGTGCTTTGAGTCTAAGAAAACTGGAGATTACCACGAGGAAATGAATGGCGAATCGTTTGAACAGTGGTTTTCAAAAATTTTACCGAACTTAGAGGAAAACGCAGTAATTGTGTTGGATAATGCGCCTTATCATTCTCGAAGAATGGAGAAGGTCCCAACAACGGCTTCAAGGGAAGTTGATGTTCAAAATTGGCTCCGCTCGAAAAATATCAACTTTGAAGAAGCAATGCTGAAAGAACAATTATTAAGAATTGTCAAGGATCACAAGGCGGAATATCAAAAATACGCCATTGACGAAATGGCAGCAAGTCAAAATAAAACTGTGCTCTGTTTACCTCCATACCATTGCGAGCTCAATCCCATTGAGCTCATATGGGCAGAGGTTAAAAATTATATAGCTAAGCACAATACAACTTTTAAATTTTGTGACCTCAAAGGACTTTTCAAAGAAGCACTAGAATTAATAACAGCGCAAAAATGGGAAAACTGTATTAAGCACGTGAAAGACAAAGTTGAAAAGAGAATGTGGGAACTGGACAATATTTTAGAGGAACAAGTCGAGCCATTCATTATTGACGTTGGTGCTTCAGGCAGTAGCGATGATGAAAGCTCATCAAGCTCATCTTTCCAATAAAAGAAGTCGTTCATCAAATTCGGTAAGTTATAAGTAATTATAAAGCTACTGTATTTTTTAATTAATTATTGACGTTTTTGAACCCATTTTGGCAAAACCTATTCAAGAATCTACTTTCTGACAATGTTCAACCATGCACATTTTTTTACGTTTTGAACGTTTTAATTTGGTTACATATTTACCTAGAAATCAAAAAATATAATAATCAATATTCTAAAAGCAATTTTAAGCGATATACGATTATTTTTAATTTAGGCTAATTTAAACGCCATTTTGAGATGTATTCGACTGTATTTCACCAAACATCAGGCGGCATCCGAAGCTGGAAATCGAAGCGAAAATTTTGAAACCCTTATGTATATTTACATCATTATATATTTCTTACCCCACCCCCACATGATCCTATATCCATCACCAATCGTATACACATCGAATTGTGCTAATTTACTACAAAGTTACGCAAAGCAGCATCTACTATCTAAAATAAGTACTGCGTGACTCTTAATACGTCCCTGCCGAATGTTACAGCGTTCGATGATCACGTGGTCTTGTTTATGTCCGGTCTATCTCTTATCTGAATATACTGTAGTTACAAAAAAGGCAGTGGCATCCCGTTTTTTGGCAATAATATTTGCTAAGGTGCTCCCTGGGATGCCATTGAACCTAACAATTTCAATCTATTTATTGCTGAATTAGCCTCATAGTACAACAAATAATATTGCCAAATTTCAACAGAATGAGGCATATATTTTTTAACATATTAATAAAAAAACAATATCTTGAAAATTCACCTCGTCTGTTTTTTTCAAATATCCTGTATAATCTAAATCACAGTATGACTGCTCATTGCTTTAGCCATTGAGCATATAATGAGTCATGTGTGAAAATTCTCATTGTGAGAGCACCTGAACCGAATGATCACTAGATATAAGGAGCCATTCTGAAATTTGTTTATCTCCTAATTCTCATAGTCTGTAGGGAGGATCAAAGTGCATACTACAAGTGCACTTGACAAAAGTTAATTTTTATAATATAAGTGAAAGTGTTTGCAGATAATTATGTAAGATGATTTCAAGACATGGTACATAATTTGATAGCACAAGCCCTATGAAGGTCATTGTTTCCACCTGTAATTATTATTATTGTTTGGTAGGCATAGATAGTCAAATGAGTCAAAAGTATCCACTAATATTATACAATTTTTGAGACAAACAATGCGATGTAAATGTATAATCTGTTATCTAATGTTAGGAAAATTGTCACTAACATACTAGCATTCGTTACTATCACCAAGGGTTTGTGTTAGATATTGCTGAGCATTTAACAAAATTTACCTCTAAATTATTGTTATCCTCATCTCGTGGCCTTTTGCTGTTGATTGGCGATTCCTCCGCCGGAATTTGTGAGAAAGGTTTGCGTTTGCGACTCTGGAAATGAAAACAAGGTACTTAAACAATGAAGTACACTTTAGTGCGAAAATAGTTTACCATTTTCTGGATAAAACGCTTAACTACAAGGTACTTGGTTCACCTGATTTACACACTAAATTATAATTTCCCTTTAAAGTAACCTATTTGTGATCACATCATAAAAAAAGGATGCATCAATACGATTCACGAACCCGCCAATTCACAAAACAAACAATACCAAAACCAAAGCATCTTCAAAGTTCAAACACAAAACGTTTAAAGCTTCCTATTGACATTTGCTTGACAGATGATGTTCAGATGACTGGCAACCCACAAAGCACATAACCACCACCAAAGCCGAGACCGTGTCGCCATGTCCTGGCTGGAAGTCTAACTAATTATAGAAAACTGCAACTAACGTGAAAAGAAAATGGGACACGAGATTAGAGATGGGCAAAACAACATTTTTAAACAGAATCTTCTAGTAGCAGATGTGATTTATCGGCCTGGGTAAAGAGAACATGGCCACTTTTGGCACCACAAGACAACTACGGTGGTGTTTTTTTACAAATTAATGATATACAGGATACTAAAGAAGACAGAGATACAAATAACTAGGAGATTGGCAAGGGTGTATACGCAGATTACCGCGTATCTAAGCCCCAAATGCCCTCCAAGGACATTAGAAAGGCAAGAAGACGTTCTTAACACGTTCACTGCCAAAGACGCGGATCCGCGTCCAACCCATCTTTAGAAAATTCTAAATTTACAATTATTTAATTGAATACTAGATATTTTTTTATGATACTTAAATAAAATAATCTATGGCATATGGCTCCGGCATAATTGTTAGCATTTGAAAAAAATAATTTTTAGTAATTGAATTGGCATGTTTGGTAGCACGTAGGGGGTCAATCCATCTAAGCCCACAGTCAAATATTTGATATGTATTTATCAGCATCATTAGAGAGCATTTTTGCATAATACTAGAATTCGGCAATTAAAATGCGAAACCAAATTCAGTAAGACACCAAAATTAAATTCTCCGAATGGTGTACACTTTCGGAATTGTTTATTCAAAGTGGTAAATCTCGGGACAAAATGAATTGTCTTACATTCAAACCAGTCGTTATGAATGTCAATAATTCCATGAATCCATGATATCTATTAAAAATATGATAAAATGCAAACAAAATCAATGACACTCTTAAAAATCTTGTAGGTAGCGTCATCTTCCGGAACAAAAGTTTGATAAGGCTAAGGAGCGCGGAAGCATTAGAACTTCATCAATTTTAGTTCAACTAACACTGTGGAGATGGGGCAAATCAAAAATAAGAGTTTGAAGGAAGATTTATATATTATAAGTAGAATTTATAGGAAGTTGAAGTATCTAATTAAGCTGTGCATAGAGATCACATGCGTGCTCAACTGTAACTGAAAAAATACGAAAACATTGATATGATACACATGGTGCTATCTGCTGGTCTAACATTAGACCAAAATGACGAGCCTACGATTTTGGTAAGAAACCTGTAACAACTAACAATTTATAAAGTTAATAATGCACTTAGTGTCGAGCCAGCGCTGGACTACCCTTCGTGCTGCCCAATTTTGAGGAAGAAGTCGAGTAGAGATGGAAATTTCGACTATTTGGATCATTTTGAGATTCTGTTAAGCTGACAATTGGCATCTAGCAGTCTTGTCACTTTTCACCAGTGTTACCTAGTCTACCAATTTTTCGCTAGATCCACCGATTTTATTTATTTTCTACATCTCCAAAAAAATCGGAAATCGTTAAACAGTGTGTGATTGAAATACTTCAGCTAAACGCAAGAATAAATCTCTGTACGGCCTCCTCCTCACCAAAAAATCTACGGAAAACAGTTAGACTGTACCTGGCAACACTGCGTCTTACATTTTCCTCATTATCTTTATTCAAGATTTGTGTTCGGCGTGGCTTTTTCGGCTTGGATTTAAAAGCGTTTTATTTCACCCTCTTCTGCATCCTCGGTTTGGTAGCATCAGAAATTAAAACGGGTCTAGCTTGCAAATCATATAGACTAAAACATACCTACCAGACTAAGTATTAATTTCTGTAATTGTTATTCTTTCAATGCTCTAACCGGCGTCTTTTTCAGAAATGGATATAAGGCCGAATAATACAATCTACATCAACAATTTGAATGAAAAAGTAAAAAAGGAGGAATTGAAAAAGTCGCTGTATGCCATTTTCTCCCAGTTTGGCCAGATTTTAGACATCGTAGCTCTGAAGACGCTTAAGATGAGGGGCCAAGCTTTCGTCATCTTTAAAGAAATCCAGAGCGCCACAAATGCCTTGAGGTCGATGCAGGGGTTCCCTTTCTATGATAAACCAATGGTAAGGTGAATGCACCATAATGTATACTAAGTGACATATAAATCCGGCATCCAGTGCCCGTTGCTCTTTGCGTACGGCCTTCTCGAAGCCATGCCTGACAACACTTAACCACAGTGTCTACACTTCTTTGCACTCTAACTGCAATTGCCCGAAAAGAAAGTCCAGCTTCCTGAAGTCCCACTATACGGCCCCTATCAAACTCACTAAGTTGACGAAATCGTACAGGTCTCTGTACTCTAGGCATCGTAACCGATCGTAAAGGATGTCAAGAACCAAAATCTGCCAACGTTGATTCTTTACTGTGGCTGAAATATTCATTTTTAGAGCTTAGTGAATTAAAAAAAGCAGTATAAAAACCGGAATGTACAACTGATAAGGCTGAAAATTTTTTCACTTGTTATTTACAGTAAGATAAATACATTCACCAACTTTTATTAAAATGAAACCATTTAAACTGGGTGTTCGGATTTATATGTCACTTAGTATATATTACTCTATAATACTTAATTAATTGACAACACAAAAAAATAATTACAAGAATAGTCCATTTTTGGAACATAATAGGCAGATCATGTTAATAAGGTATGTATCATAAATTTAACTTTTTGAGTGATTTTACATCAAAAAGTTCATGTAAACATAGGTCCACAAATTCTTTGTTCTCAAGATACAGGGTGTTCAAATTTAACAAAAAATGGATTTTTGTAAATTCCTTAAAAACCCTTTGGTGTTGTTTTTTATTACATCAAGGAGCTAATTTAGCTCTAACCTGATTAAATTTATTAAGTTCGGCAGGGTCTCAAGTGGGTTCTGAACAAATATTTGTGGCAAAAAAATGTTTGTGCAATTTTTATTATGTTCTTTGGATCAAGCATTTAGAAATACAACTTTTTTGTCTCTTGACTTTTTTTCATAGCTTTTGTTTCTTTGAGAACCTTCTCTGCAGAATAAGAACAGTTTTATAGGTTTGTTTCAGAGATGTTCAGAACTGAATTTGCTTGTGCATTTAAAAAAAAATCAGGTGTCGAAACAATGGTTGTATGGGGGAGATTTATGTCTGTCTATTTTGCAGTTCGCATGTGAAACCAAACATTTTTAATCATAAGTTGAAGATAGTTGTATTTTTTGTGTTGTAATGCGGTGTTTTCCATTTTATTATAATGTACCATCAAGAAACGCCTGATCTTCCATAGTTGGTGAAAACTAAATGAAATTCGCATGGCAAAAGGGTTGCTAAAATTGACGTTTAGTAGGTTATGAATACACAGATTTATGGATAGTTTGTACATGAGTTGAACACTTTACTGGAACAAACCTCATGTTGAACCTAAACAAGGCATTAGAGATGCGTTTATTGCTGCACTTAGCTTATTTTTCAGTTTGAAGTTCAATAGATATTTGTTAAGCATGAAACCAGAATCAGCAATCACTGGACCGATTTTCAAAACCTACGATAGTAGTAACCTTATGTGAAAATGCCCGATGGCGTATGAAGTAAATCGAAAATATTTCAATAAAATTTATCCAAGTGACTTCAAAACATGGTGTTTAATTCTCAAACCTTCAACAAATTGTGCTTCCACCTCGAAGGAAAATTGTGGACAATGGTTACTTTCCTCTTTGAAAAGTGTCAATAGTTCACAATCTATAGAACAGAACCAGCCTTTCTCCTATTTTTGGAATTCATGTCAGAGGTTACTTCACAACTATCCTTTATAGTTTTTTTTTAGACAAACATTGCTAAATTTTAACATCATACAAGTTTATGTTAATAATTTCGACTTAGCATTGCCCACATTCACGAAAATAATTTGCTTCACCAAATATTTATTTATTGATGATAATAAATCATGTCAGCTTTTTTGCGTTACATTATTTCTGCATTGAGAGTGCACTACTTTACAGTATATTCAGATAAGAGATAGACCGGACATAAACAAGACCACGTGATCAACGAACGCTGTAACATTCGGCAGGGACGTATTAAGAGTCACGCAGTACATATTTTAGATAGTAGATGCTGCTTTGCGTAACTGTAGTAAATTAGCACAATTCGATGTGTATACGATTGGTGATGGATATAGGATCATGTGGGGGTGGGGTAAGAAATATATAATGATGTAAATATACATAAGGGTTTCAAAATTGTCGCTTCGATTTCCAGCTTCGGATGCCGCCTGATGTTTGGTGAAATACAGTCGAATACAATCTCAAAATGGCGTTTAAATTAGCCTAAATTAAAAATAATCGTATATCTCTTAAAATTGCTTTTAGAATATTGATTAGTATATTTTTGATTTCTAGGTAAATATGTAACCAAATTAAAACGTTCAAAACGTAAAAAAATGTGCATGGTTGAACATTGTCAGAAAGTAGATTCTTGAATAGGTTTTGCCAAAATGGGTTCAAAAATGTCAATAATTAATTAAAAAATACAGTAGCTTTATAATTACTTATAACTTACCGAATTTGATGAACGACATCTTTTATTGGAAAGATGAGCTTGATGAGCTTTCATCATCGCTACTGCCTGAAGCACCAACGTCAATAATGAATGGCTCGACTTGTTCCTCTAAAATATTGTCCAGTTCCCACATTCTCTTTTCAACTTTGTCTTTCACGTGCTTAATACAGTTTTCCCATTTTTGCGCTGTTATTAATTCTAGTGCTTCTTTGAAAAGTCCTTTGAGGTCACAAAATTTAAAAGTTGTATTGTGCTTAGCTATATAATTTTTAACCTCTGCCCATATGAGCTCAATGGGATTGAGCTCGCAATGGTATGGAGGTAAACGGAGCACAGTTTTATTTTGACTTGCTGCCATTTCGTCAATGGCGTATTTTTGATATTCCGCCTTGTGATCCTTAACAATTCTTAATAATTGTACTTTCAGCATTGCTTCTTCAAAGTTGATATTTTTCGAGCGGAGCCAATTTTGAACATCAACTTTCCTTGAAGCCGTTGTTGGGACCTTCTCCATTCTTCGAGAATGATAAGGCGCATTATCCAACACAATTACTGCGTTTTCCTCTAAGTTCGGTAAAATTTTTGAAAACCACTGTTCAAACGATTCGCCATTCATTTCCTCGTGGTAATCTCCAGTTTTCTTAGACTCAAAGCACCACAGACCGTCAACAACAAATCCATCCTCACTGCCAATATGGCAGATAATGAGCCTTTTCCCTTTACCTGGAAATCGAAGTACTAACTGGTGTAGATTTATTTCAATAAGCGAACCTTTTTCAAATGTTTTCATCACATTCAGCGAAAAAACATTGAGACATGAGTATCAGATTGCTATAATTGGGATTATTTAGTCATATTGAAAGAAAGAATATTGAACGTCGTATGATTACTCAGCGCTTCACAATTTAATTTAAAGTTATAAACCTTTAAAAAATGAATGATCAGGAACCTGAAATACGCGCAAATATTAATATTAACAAATTATAACTTTATAAAGCTTAAAGTATGAATTAAAATGATTAGAAATATTAGGAACGGTACACAATTTAAAACTTAGTAACTTTTTTTAAGTTTATAATATTCGACATATTTTAAGATTATATAAAAAATTATTGAAATATCGAAAACACATAAAAACATGGCTTAAAAAAGTTCTAACAAATGAAAATGACAATAAAACATCCACGCATTTTATCGAAAGTTATAAAAGTTTTGTTACTTGTAATATGTTTTATCTGCCCCCTGGAATTAATGTTTAGAACCTTGTTCCCAAGGTTTGAAAAACATCCGATTGTTGTCTATTACTCGTATTTACCTGCTGGATTTTTTAATCCGGTGGACAGTCCATCTAGAAAGGCCCTCCTGGATGAAGTTACAGAATCATCAACCCATACTTTACTTGTAGTGTGTCCTGCGTTTACCCACGTTTCATCAAGGTAATAAATCTTCCTGTTTTGATTTCTATATTTCCCAATTTTTGTTAAATAATCCCTCCTCCATAGCACAATTTCTTCTCTATCCAGTAGTAAACTATTACGACCCCGTTTTTTCCATTTGAAATTTAAATGCTTCAGTAACGCATGGAAAGTTGATCGTTTGAAATTTGGCAACGTTGTATCTCCATTTACCTCCTACAGTACTTTATCTATAGTAGGTAATTCATTCCTAAAGAAGAATTCATGCACTTTCCTCCTAATCGCATGCTTATCAGCTTCATCCAATGATTTAACAATACTTTTGCGATGTTTACTGGTCATTGGCCCAGAAAAGGTGTGATTTTTTTTGTATTGTGTTAACACATTAAACACTGATGCGCGACACACCCCAACTTTGTGAGAAACCTTCACAACAATTTCTTTGATGGTTGATGCCTCGTTCTCCTCGCGCTCGATCTTATATATATTCAAAATGACCTCTTTCATTTCTGCACTCAGGTGTCTTTTTTTAGAGCGTTTCCTAGGTGGACTACAGGAGTTTACAACTTCATCGGCAGTATCTGTACTACTGGGCATTTTGCACAAGCAGTTGATAACAATAACAATCAATAACAAGGTATAACAATGACAACGACAAACTCAACAACTTAATAAGATAACAAACGAAAACGTCCAAAGAAATATCAAATTGCAATGATGCACACGACATACGTAACACGTCTGAACCTGAATGTGACTCTGCCTTGATACGACTGCTCTGCCGCTCGGCATAGGCATTTAATTGCGAATTGACCAATGAGGGCTCCTGTTTTACGTCGAGACGGCGGCGTTAGCGTGAAAATCATCCGAACCTTTTGTTTACATCCGGTTTATCTCTTATCTGAATATACTGTAGTATTGCATTTTTTATAGGAGAAACAAAAATTCTCAAAAATGAGCTTCAGCTAGTTCTGCATTAAAGTGATGATCTGCTTTTCACCAAGTGAAGTATCGTCAGCCGTTCCTAGAATTATTGTAGAACGCCTTTATGGCCTCCTTGATTTTCATAGTTATTTTCACTCCTTCAGAAAGGCTGAGGTACTATTTCTAAATTTCTACTGTTCCATGTCAGCGTCAGCGCTCTCCTATTGTGAGGATATGTTGTCTTTTTGGATAGTAGATCAAGGTGATACAGCAGATGATATAAACCAAAAGCATGAACAATTTAATGCAAATAGATATTTGTAACATAACCTCAAAGTAGAGTGCTGACACGGAACAGTAGAAAAATATGAAAAGCAAGGAGGCCATGCAGGCGTCCTACAATTTATTGGACGACAGGACCCTAAGTAACCTGGCAACATTGTGCATTGCACTAGGCACAATTTCACAACAGTGTATTTGCAGAGAATACAGTACTCAAAGTCGGACTCTGACATCATCTCCAAGCTGAAGGGTACCTATCAAGAGCGACCCAAGAAAGTTCGACCGCCTACGATGAGGGACGAAGACGCCCCTAGGAAGAAGAAGAAGAGCAAGGACCCCAACAGGGTCCCGGGCGGAGCGAATGCTGAACAACCGCCTAACCAGATTCTCTTCCTGACCAATCTGCCTGACGAGACCAGCGAGATGATGTTGTCTATGCTGTTCAATCAGTAAGTTATATTTTCGCGCGTTTCTATTGGTCAGTAGGCTGGAAACCCGAGAATAAGGAGACACAAGTAGCTAGCCACGATTTGAATCGATTGGTTTTTCAATTTTAATCGTGAATCAAATCAAATTATACATTGCTGTAAAAGCAAGTCGCCGAAGCAAGTAACTGAAATAAATCATATGGTAGTTATACATTTTTTTTCATAGGTTCCCTGGTTTCAAGGAAGTTCGTCTGGTCCCGAACAGACATGACATCGCCTTCGTCGAGTTTGAGAATGAGATGCAGGCCGGTGCGGCTAAAGATGCTCTGCAAGGATTCAAGATCACGCCTACGCACGCGATGAAAATATCTTTTGCTAAAAAATAATTAGGGAATATGTTTAATGTGTCCGTGTGAATTTGTTGTTATTGACCGATAAAATGGTATGTGTAAGAGTTATGAATAAAAATTATTTCATACGAACATTGTTTTCATTTTTTCATAATATCCATCATCTACTTAATACTTAATTTCGACCTCATGATATAAACCTATGAGTATCATTTGATGTTTTCTGACGTGTGTAAATGCTATCAGTCTTTTCATCACTGTCTTTCAAGGCGGTCCGTAAGACATTTGCCTTTGAGCCAAAGTATGTCGGTCTTTGTTATTCAGACTAGTCACCCAGAAAATAAGCAGAAGAAAATATGATGAAATAAATAAAATAATACATTTTAAAAAATAAACTATTTGCTATTTACAACCTGCATTTTGTTGGCACTCCCCGTATGTTATTATGTCCGCTAGTTCATTGTTTTCGTAGACATGGGCAATTTTTGCGCAAAATAATCAGACAAATGAAAGTATATGCACTATTAAGACTGGTCGAACCAAAAGACTCGTGCTGAACACCATACATTAACACAAAAAGTTTGCCAAATTTAGATACACGAAACAAAAAAAAAAATAACACAGCAGTGGTCGAGAATATCAAAAAATCTGTGTAATTTCTTTTATTATGCAAATTTTATGTATATAGGTAATTTTTGGTATATCAACTCTTTTGACGAATCCTACAAGCAGTTAAAATGAATGACTCAACTTTGAAAATTATTTATATATATATATATATATATATATATATATATATATATATATACATATAGAGGAGAAAAAAAAGCTTCCGCCTTTTGTAAATTCAAGCAAAGGGGACTCTTCATACTATCTATATTAATCTCTAGCTTTCAATGGACTTTGCCATCTTCATCAGGAGCTGCAATAACATTGAGAAAAAATATCAACTATTGTGCAAAATGATTTTAAATTAACTTACAGAAGTATGTGAGATTGTTGATATATATATATATATATACAGGGTGACTTCGAAGTTGAGTCATTTATTTTAACAGTGAGTAGATCTGATCAAAAGAAATGTTTTTTTCCTTTACCATTTTTCTGGTAAAATTAAAGTAACAAAGTTATAGCCCTTTGGAAGTTTGAGTATCGCCCTGTCTCAATAATAATATCATGTACTCGTGTTTGGCAACAACGGATATAATCCACCTTATCGGTTCATCGCATGGGAAACAAAAAAGCGAAAGAATTTGGAACGACGTTTTTATTTCATTCAGTTCAGTTATACATACATTCAGTGTCAGTCGCGTGTGAATAGTGTCTGTTGCGTGGCTCAAACGAAATAAAAAATGGCACATGTTTATGCGGATCGGTTTCCCAATCGAGTGCAACCAACCCCTCGTGCCTTTGTTAATGTAGTACAACGGGCTCGTGAATCAGGTGACTTAAGACCTCACAGGGCACCTCACGATCAAATACAGGTCCGCACTGGAATACTTGTTGGGAGGATACTTTATAAAACAAGGTAAAAAATTTTTTTTATTTTTTTTTATTTTTACACACATATTTTGGTTTATCTTCCTTCTACAATCATTATCTGAAAATTAATGACTCAACTTCAAAGTCACCCTGTATATATATATATATTCGACCACCATACAAAGTGAGGACCTCCCGTCTAAAATTCACATACAAAGTGAGGACCGCGACAAAGTGAGGTCCGTATACGGACCTCACTTTGTCAGACCCTATGTATCGTGTATATATATAAAAATATATAAGTATTTTTAATTTTTTAGTGCTTCTTATGAACTGGTAAATAACAGCTTGTTTTTAAAGTATATTTTTTACTTTTTCGTACTTTTACTATCTCCAATAATTGGTAATATCTATATAATTTTCATATATTTCATTGATATGACTCCTTATTGGATTTAGAATTAATTGCTTATGTTTTTCTCATAAAGTCCTTCAATTTGATGCCTATATCATAGAGGCGACTAGTAATTAGCTCTAAAGGCCACCTCGGGGCGATCGCCATATTAGATTTCAATTTCCCTATTGCATTTCTCTCATCAAGCCCTTTCATTTGATACCAGTATCATATTCTCTACCATGTTACAAGAAATTTCTAATTTTGATACAACTACCGAGTCAGATATTTTTTTTAGAATACTCAAAATCATCTCTACTCATAGGCTTCAGAATTTGAGACACAAATAAGTCAAATGTGTGATACGTATTATGTAAGACCCGAAAATCAAGTTAGATACTTAAATTTTCGCGAAAAACGGGAATAGGGGAAGACGGATGTGATGTCATCCAAATGTCAAAAAATCACGTGGTACGGGTAACCGCCTAACGTCTGTGAGGTACTAGCGGGTGACAGGTCTTATGTCAATGTCATTTAAAAACAGACGTGTCGATTGAAAGTTTGTCATCGCAGTGCCGAAAAATCATAAATGGAGAAACACGTCCCCCTGATTTTAAATGACGAGGTAGAAGGTCATCGAACATATAGGAACCGCATTTGTCATCTCAAATGCTTGATTTTTATTGATATATATGTACATTGCACAAAAAAAGATCGGTATTTTTAATTCAAAGGCCCGAGTAAAGATAACATGGCCACGCAAGACACCTATTGAAATATACTCTACTAGACTATCCCTAGCTAAATTTTTCTCGAAATACTTGAAAATATGCAAATGAAGATTAGAAAACTGCCGCATTGACGTTCTAAATGGCTCCGTCGTTACCCCGGCATAGACGTGCGTTTTGAAAATTGATCTTGTCACCTGGATTGCGGCGTTGCCAGCTCATCGGACGATTTTGATACCTCTGCTATCACAAATTCCTTGGACCTTTTGTTCGAGGCCTTGCTAATAGTTTTGTGATTTTTCAGAAATGAATGTAAGTGCGTTTGATTAGTTCACGATTCTGTATTTTATCTTATAAAACTGGGCACTTATAAAAGTCTTCAGTGACACTAACGTTCCGCCGCATAGACTCCAGGCGACGCAAAATGTAAATAACAGTTTTTTTCTAGTTTTTTGGCAAACACTGCTACGCTTCAAATTTTATATACCTCCATTGGTATCCTCAATGTTTTATTCAAACCTTCTTTTTTATATAACATTCTTGCAAAATAGCAGAGGTAGTAAAATTGTTCGATGAGCTGACAACGCAGCAATTTAAATGACAGGAATTACAAGGTCAACTGCTGAAACATATGTCTATCCCGGGGCAACGACGGAGTCATATAGTACGTCAAAGCGGCAGTTTTCCAATCCTAATTGGCATTTATTAAGCGGTGTGCAACGATATCGAGAAAAATTTCGCTACGGATAGTCTTCTAGAGTCTAGTAGAGTATATTTCAATACCTGTTTTGCGTGGCCATGTTATCTTTACTCGGACCAATTCAGATTCTAACAAGACAGCTAAGTTTATCAAGGATCTTATAGTATATATCTATATACAGGAAGTAGGAAGTTAAGCAAATGTTTCTTGGACATTAAACTTTGACATTTGTCAGTTTGGTATGATAGTATTACACTCGTATATTGTGTGTGCAATCTTGTAATGTTTGATGTTTTGTAAAGAATTAAATCGCATCCAAAACTAAAAGATTCTGTTTGAAAATATGGTGTTTCCCATTTCTGATCTCGTGTTCTGTGGTCCAGTCCCTTTCACATCAGTTACAATCCATGGTTACAATTTTCTATATTAGTTAAACTTTCACTCAGGAGATGGCGACACGGCAGCTATTTACATTTTCTATTTTCAATTATAATTCAATTTTCTCTACGTTTTGGATTTATAATAGATTCTTTCCAAAATATTCAGAATCAACTTGTTATTTTCTGAAGCGTCATCTAGACGTCACGAGCGTAGTTAAATAGACCAAAGGGACTAGACGAATTTGATCCTGATTTTGGTTTTAATTACCTTCCTTCATAGTTAATATAATCCTTTGAATTGTTCTCTATCTTTAACATTCAATTATAATTGATTGCTTGTAAGCTTGATCGTGGCGTTATTTTTATTTATAGCCGTCGCAGAACATGCACTTTATATAGTTTTGACGAAAATTGATATAAAGAAGGAGGAATACGAAAAAAGGAGGTTGGAGGATGAGAAAACCTGCAATGTGTAATCCTCATATAAGATAATTGATATAGCAACAAAATTATGTAAATAATTCTGGAAACTTTTATGCGTAGCGCCACCTACAAGACTACTATTGAACTATTTGTGCTGGATGAGTTTGACGTTGCAAATTTTCTGCTCCCTCTTTAGATTCTAGAGCAAGTCAGAAATACCATCACCGACAGGTAGCAGCACATACATCAAGCGACTAAAATGGGAAAATATTGGTATCAATTGAAACTAGGGAAATCATAACGATTTGGAAAACATTTTAATTTGAAGCACTTTGTTGTAACTATTTTAATTTTTAAAACTCTTACAGGCAATTACTGATCGCGTCTGGGATGCAAGGTTCAAAGCCTATTTGATTCAATCTAAAAGAACTAATCTGTGGGTTCAATTGTTTTTAAATTTGTTGTCGGTGCAACGGCTAGGAATAATCGTTTTTTCCTTTTCCCGATTGTCTTCATTTGTCTACAAAATAAAAATCATAAAAATGAGCAGAAAACTATGAAGTGTAACTAGAATTTGCTCTCGGGAGTCTTTTCTATTAGTGTGAATGTGTTTGTGAAGAATAATGGTGAAACAAAATTTAAAGCCTGAGGTCGTGGGTGTCTTTGTGTGATTACGTAGTGGTGTTCGGATTTGAAAAATGAAGAAGCTAAGCCGCGTGCTGTAGGAATAACAGCAGCACCCGACAATAGCTGCCATGGGATACGTAAATGGTACCTAGTTCCGTCTTATACCTACCCGTTTTATATCAACAATTTCTTCAGAAATTTATTCAGATAGATTTCTTCAAGGTCATCCTGATTGTTTTGCGTGGTTACATCAATGGACAAATCCATGGATTATCTGTAAGTACAGAATGCGGCCAACCACACAACGAATTCTTGCTAGAACCAATTTGAGATTTTATGTCTATTGTGGATTTTGAGAGAAATCTCATAAACAGAAATCATAAACGTGACTGAATATTGTGGTTCTATCAAAGTTCTATACCTGAATTGGAAAGTTTTGTTCTATATAATGGAAACGAAAATAAGGTTGTCACCATGGAATTAGATGTCCAGCTTAGCAAAGTTCTTCCCTACTGTCAAGATATATAACCCGAGGTACCGACGGAGGCATTTTGTGGCGTCATGGAAATAATTTTAAATTTTCATTTGCATTTTTTCAAGTGTTGTGCAACGATTTTGGGAAAACTCCACGAATAGTCTTATAAAGCATAGTAGAGTATATTTCAACAGTTGGCGGAGCTTACTCCACTGGAACCAGTGGGGTGAAACGGGATATGAATGCACAATCTGGCAACCATGTCGCACCCTCACAAAATGGCCGCTGATAACCACGCAAGTCACCGTGTTGTAATTGAATAGCATGGAATTAAACCTTCTTCAGAGTATATGTTGTGTGACTGGGACCAAGGGTTGACAGATCCCACACATGTGTCACTAAGGGAGTCTTGAAATGCAATAATCAGCTGTATTCAAATAATGTCTAATATAAATATAACCTAAAATGTGTACTCGTGAAAAAAGAAAAATATGGCAAATTTGTAGTTTTTTTTTGCAGGTTTTAGGTTTGCTGGTAGCTTTGGCATATACATATTTGGGAATTTCTTAATCGCTGTGAATATAGTGTGGATGTTTGTTCAGTTCCTGAACAACGAAAAATATTCAACTTTATGGATGTATCGATATCAAAAAACCTGAATATTTTTGTGGGAGTATCAATCTAAGGTGCTATAATGGTTCTGATGAACGGCAAGTAGGTAAATGAATGAATGTTTGGAAACGAGCAATATTTTTTGGAGCCTGTCATCAAGTAGGTGCTTAATGGCTATCTGCAAGATATTTATAGGAAAAAACACCCAGTTGAATAAGTAAAATCGCATATCAATTGAAGAAAATAATATAAACGTGAATAAAAAATCAACAATAGTAATTAAAACGTGAATTTAATTCAAAAATCAAACATTTCTTTAAATTTTGACTGAATTATATGTACTTAATTTCTTAATATTCAATAAGCTGGTCATGTTTCAATGACAAGCTGTCATCTCATACTTTGACAGTATTTTGTTTTCATAATTTCATAGCTATTGGTTGCTAAAATCTGTTGATTGGAACTTGAAGCTCATTCGTTGTATTTGACGGACTGTTACCCTATAGGTGGAGAATGTAACATATATCAAAATACATGAAAGTTTCTGTACAACAGCATCATGTTGGGATCAAAAAGTGGTCTTGTTTATAATACAGTCGAATTTTCACGATTTCATTCAATATTTCAATAGAAATCGCTGATATTCAGAGACCTTTGACAGCTTCCGTCAAATTGCATTTCGATAAGGTCTTTTCCTATTGGTCCAACTGACCATCAAATATTAATGTTGGTGAAATTGGCCCTAAGTCCGTCTTTCCGTAGTTCCTTTGGCACCGCGTAATTTTAGCAAATCATTCTTAGTCACGTTTCTGCCATTTGTCGTTTGGTTTCTCAGTACAATTTGTTTATGGTTAGGAACCATACTTTTTGGAAGTCATAAATACAGCTGTATATAGCCTATTTTTCATTATTTACATTCATATCCTTTCAGTGGTAACTGACATTTGTGAATTTGTGTACACATTGGGTCCAATTTTTAACCAAGCAAAATGATCCTAAAGATATTACATAATTATGTAACATCGTATACGTTTTTGTGTAAAAAATCACAAATGTTCATAAGAGCGGAATTATTTTTTGTACCTTTAACTTTGATTTCTTAAACAGGGTGAGCCAGAAAGACGTAAAAAACTTCAAAACCGCATTGCTCCCGAGCGGGACCCGGGTAGTGACGATAAGTGTTTGGTGCTTGGATAAATTTAGTCGCCATGGAGCGTTTCACCGGGGAGCAGCGGCGTTGTGTTAAGGCTTATTACAAAAACGAAGATTCGTGCTCTATTGATCGGCGTCTATTTCGCTCTGAGTTTAGTTTACTTGATCTAAATCCATGTTCTAGTGAAAGTGTGATCAGGCCGTGGGTCAGAAACCATAGCAGGATCTGGTTTCAACAAGATGGCGCGACAACGAATCTTTAACTTATGTAAACGATATCGTGATGAGGGGACATTACGTGGCCTCCCCGGAGTCCAGATGCCACGCCACTGGATTTTTTTTCTCGAACTTGAAGTCGAGATTCGAGGTGTGCGTACGTCTCGATGGCCCACATCTCATTAATGTTATTTTAAAAAAATAAAATTCCCATGTGTCTACTTTATCAAAAATAAAAATTATATTCCCTATACTTTGAAGTTTTTTTCTATGACTCTTAACTTAATGGCCCACCCTGTAGAAGGAGTTCTAACTTAGAATCTCTCATTCGATATTTTGATGACTAACAATACAGAGGCTGGTCAAAGCAATCGATTGAAAATTAAATTGCGAAAAACCCCACTAGTCAATATTTTTAAATGTAAATCACCTGTTTTTATAATCTCATAATCTTGAGATTTAAAAAAATAATTTTGTACAAACTGCAAATTAATAGTTCAGGAAATATTTGCAAATACTCGTTAAAGTTAAAAATACATGCTATTTCGACCTGCAGACAATATTTGTCATATTCTCTTATTTAATATTAAAACATGAACACTAACTAGTTGTTTACATATTATGTTACTTTTTGCAAAAATAATTTTTACCAAAAACACATTATTTTACATATAATCAAAAACTTCGCGCCTTAAGAAAAAGCGTTCTTATAATTTTAGGTTATGATGTTATCAGATTGTCTTGTATAAATCGTTAACAAAATTCATTAACTTAGCTTAATACCTCAAAAGGAATCCATTTCTTTAACACACTTGGTTTATACCCTATTTCACGAGTATCCATCACAGTGAAATGACAGCTGAGTATCTAGTAATATCTCAAAATTCCCCATATCGGCAGAGGACACATAATTCTGACGGATCCGTCAACGTCAGGTAGTCTGAGACGTATTTTGTTTTGGTTTTCTGTACGCTACATATTCATTTTGTACTTGCTAACAGCTCTTTTATTTAGAAAAGTCCATTTGCATACAAAAAACAAAACGCTAGGAACAATGTTCACTAGATTTACACCCTATTCATTATTGCCGACGTCGCAGACTAGCACAAAAATGTCACTTCCTGATCAGCTGTTCACCTCAGTAGACGTCAAAACATGATGCATACTCATGAAATAGGGTATAGACTAGTGAATCACTAGCTAACCTTATTTTTTTGGTTTTATTCCTCCCTTTGGGAAAAAGGCAAACGCTTTCAAGTAAATGTAACCTTTTTTAAATTCGTTGCGTGACAAAAATGTAAACAAACCGCATACCCCCTATCTGAACGCATCAAGTACGCGAAGCAGTACCGTGGTGTGGCTACGCTTGAGCGGCGCATGCCTGCCTGATTCCGCTGAACCACTTTCGACCTGTCAGCGCGCGCGTAGGCGTGGCCGAACGCGGCAAGAGGCGTGGCTTGTGAACAGTTGTGGTACGCTGCGGTGTTGCCATGTCGACGGAGGCGTTTTTCTGGTTTCGATCGGGACGCGGTGTGATTTATGAGGAAGATTTGAATTTTTATTGAAAATTACAAAGCAGTTTTGCGTTAGCTAACACGCGTAAGATGATGCTGTCTTGGATGCAACATTGTAGCATTTGCAACGGAGATTTATTATTCCGCAGTCGTAGTTGCAGGATGTATAAGTGATATTTTTATTAGATATGAATTCATGAGGAATGTGGTAATGCTGGATATACAGGGTGACTTTGAAGTTGAGTCATTAATTTTCAGATAATGATTGTAGAAGGAAGATAAACCAAAATATGTGTGTAAAAATAAAAAAAAAATTATATCTTGTTTTATAAAGTATCCTCCCGACAAGTATTTCAGTGCGGACCTGTATTTGATCGTGAGGTCTTGAAGCACCGGCATGCCGTCCATATGTGAGATCTTAATTCAAATGATTCACGAACCCGTTGTACTACATTAACAAAGGCACGAGGGGTTCGTTGCACTCGATTGGGAAACCGATCCGCATAAACATGTGCCATTTTTTATTTCGTTTGAGCCACGCAACAGACACCACTATCCACTACAGACGGACACTGACTGTATACGACTGAATGAAATAATTGTAAAAACATCGTTCCAAATTCTTTCGCTTTTTTGTTTCCGATGCGATGAACCGATAAGGCGAATTATATCCGTTGTCGCCAAACACGAGCACATAATATTATTATTGAGACAGGGCGGTACTCAAACTTCCAAAGGGCTATAACTTTGTTACTTTAATTTTACCAGAAAAATGGTAAAGGAAAAAAACATTTCTTTTGAACAGATCTACTCACTGTTATAATAAATGACTCAACTTCGAAGTCACCCTGTATAAATATATATATGAAATGCAAAAAGTTATGCTGTTAGATTTTTTGAGTAGATTTTGGATGTTGGGTATATGCCACACCATAGTTAGTAAAAAAGTTTGGACGTGCAAGGCTGGTAACAATATCATTGCCAGTGAAGAATTTTTTCAAGAGATGATATCGATTTGTGCTTCACTTCGAAAAGCAATAAATGGATGTTCTCCCATTTTTCTCCCTTAGTAGTAGACCTGGGTCCGCCGGAATGTATTTACTTCTAAAAGAAAGAAACTTTACGGATACCTAATATTTGGTTACAAAGTTGTGACTCTATGGGTTCGATGATATTTCGATACCGAAAAATCAGATTGTTCTTTCTGAGAAATTGACTATAATTTAATCTAGGCATTATTGTCAAACGTTTCTGAAATCTATCTATTTGTTACAGGAACAAACAGCCTTTTTATCTGATATCGACTGTTTCTGATTGCCAAATGATAGATCCTTTATAGAAGTGG